AAGAAAAATCCAGCGAGAGCGTCTCATCACTGAATTCTCCAACGCACTGGGTGTTTTACAGAAAGTTCAGCGTGAGGTTTGCAAAGAAAGAGAAGGAGTTTGTGGAACGTGTCCGTGCGAGCTCAAGAGTTTCAGTAAGTTTCATCTATCAATTGTAATGAAGGAATTACATTAATAAATTGATACTATCCACCCAATTGAAGGTAAAATGCTTTGTTGATTTATACAGACACAAATATCTAACACAGGGATGGCCTACAGAGTTTAGCTCCAACTCTAAAAAAAAAAAATCCCCTGCCTGTAACTTTCTAGTAATCCTGAAGACCTTGATTAGCTTGTTCAGGTGTGTTTGATTAGGGTTAAAGTGTGTAAAGGTCGTTCTAAAGTGTAAATGTCAGTTTCTATAGTCCATTTCTGTGATAGTTATACACACTACTTAAATCCAGTCAGGATGCATTTAGTCTTGCATAGACTGACAGCAAAAGGTCTGGACTGCATCGCAGCTTTTATTGGCCAAGGACCGCCCAAGAGGCCACCTGACATGTAAAGCACCAATCACAGTTGTTAAAGAATGCGCCGCATGTCTAATTCAACCATCAGATGACGACTTAAAAACTTCCGAAGTGTTCCCATTTTTGTGTGCTTTAGCTAACGTCTATGGACGTGATGTCTGAGATTAGGATGCATCCAATTGAATCAATTTAGTTGCATGATGATGTATGATGATGTTTTTTCTGAGTAATAAAAGGTGGCGTATTATTGGCATGTTGCAGATTTCTCTAAGAATTCTCTTTCTGCCTACAGGCTGGTGATCCAAATGATGGCTTCGGAGGAATTGCGTCACCCTTTAAAAGGTTAGACACTGACTTTAAGATGCCCCTGTTATGCTTTTGGGATATTACCTTTTAATGTAATGCAGGGGTGTCCAATCCTGTTCATGGAGATCTACCTTCCTGCTAAGTTCAGCTCCAACCCTGATCAAACATAACAGAAACAGCAAAGTAAGATCTTCAGGAGCACTTATAATTAAAGACAGGTGTGTTGGAGCAGGGTTGATATGAACTCTGCAGGTCGGTAGGTCTCCAGGAATAGGAGTTGATTTAGCCTCTGATTTAGTGGTCTGTTTGTTAGTGTAAAAAGTCTGCAAAGTTTCAAAGATCAAAATGCATACTAAATGGAGTTATCATCTCCCAAAAGGAAGAACTGAGTAATTCCAGTCTCCCTGCACAAACCAAATTAGGTTTGTAACAAATTTCCGTAATGCCAGCCTATGGTCTTCATTTGCTGCCCGCGAACGTTTACTTTGACTTGCCCTCAAACGCTGTAGTTGTAGCTGAGGCCTAGAAGAATTTGGTTCTTGTTGACAACATCTCGAGAAGACGCTGTTTTCTGCGCTGTGAAAGCTAATTTACTGTCCTTAAATGGTTAGTTCACCCAAAAATAAAAATTACCCCATGATTTACTCACCGTCAAGACAAAAACAATCGGAGTTATATTAAATGTCCTGGCTCTTTCAAGCTTTATAATGGCAGTGAATGGCTGTTTCTGTTTTGAAGTCCATCAAAGTGCATCCGTCCATCATAAAAGTATCCATACGGCTCTGTGGGGGTTAATAAAGGCCTTCTGAAGTGAATCGTTGTGTTAGTGTAAAAAAAAAAAAAATCCATATTCGAAACTCTGATTGTATTCGTCTGAAAGAAGACACCTAGAATGACTTGAGGGTGAGTAAATCATGGGGTAATTAAAATTTTTGGTTGAACTAACCCTTTAACATTGTGTTTACAAGTTCTGAGGAAGTTGAAATTCAGATATGGTAATGGTCGTTTCGTTTTCAACAAGCGCTGTAAGCAGTCGACCAATCACAACAGACTGAGCCATCTGACCAATCAGAGTAGAGCAGGTTGTCGGAAAAGAGGGGTTTGGAGAGACATAATCCTTTATCGAACCGTTTCAGACACTGAGAAAAGAAGAGATGTTGCAATGTATATTATGAGAAAATTAAAGTGATGACCTTGACCTTTTGACCTTGGAGCGGATGCATGTAAACCTATTGTAGTTGAACCAAACAAAATAAAGAACCTTTAAAATGGCATAATAGGGGAACTTTAAATGCATCTCTGCTGTCCTGTCACATTTATGCAAAAAAAAAACAAAAAAAAAACTTCAATGTATGTCTTCAAGTGTTCTCTGTGTGTTTTTAGTTTTGAGATTCAGGCTCAAACTCAGAGCTATGAGGAGAACTTCACAGAAGAAGATCTGCAGCTCATTCAGGAGAGAGAATCAGCGATCAGACAGCTGGAGGTCAGACTCATTCAAAGAACTATTAATCTATAAAGTGACAAGCATGTTGCTAATGTAATACAATTTGAATAGTTTAGGCATGTGTAAAACACACTCTCTTGTTTTTCAGTCGGACATTACAAATATTAATGACATCTTCAGAGATCTGGGGATGATGGTGCATGAACAGGGAGACATGATTGGTAAGATCTCAAGAGAGATATAACTAGTTTTTTACACTGTTTCAAAACTGAGTGGCAACCACGAAAAACTCTTCCCACATGAAGGTTGCCAGAGCAATGCTAAATGGTTGCTGACCCTGCTCAAATTAGTTGACACTCAAATATATATATTAGGCCTACATTCATTGCATTCATAATAGTGAGTCCAAATAAACTGTTTCAAAAGTTGCCATGTGGACACTTGAGTTTGGAAGACAGTGCCGGTGTTCTGAAAATTAATGCTACCCATGTGCAGACTCGCAGTTTTTTTTTTTTTTTACAAAAGGTACATTTTCCTGTTATAATGTATAATTTCCCTTTAAAAAATGCTTACTACCATATGAATATTTGTACGGTCAGCCAGCTGAAGAAGAATAACTGAAAGTTTCAGTTACTATGAGGAAAGGTGTACTTTGACAAGTCAAAGATGAATATTTTATGATAATTTTTACTTTTCACACCGTTTTAAAAATAAAAACAGTAGTCTACAGTATACAGTAGCTACTCATAACTTAGAATTGTATTATAATTGTATTTCATACGACTTTAATCGGCATTCTGTGATCAATTCGCGCTACGGTAGCATTTTTCGACAAGGCAGCAAAAATCGACAGAACACCGGTCCTCCCTATACGCAAAGTAAGCAAGTTGGGTATGGCCCCCTTGCTCTCAAAAAGAAGTAATAGTTTAAATCTAATATTAAGACTATGGCTGTGAGATTTAAAGAAGTTTCCAACAATTATGAAAAAGCATTGTGCAGTGCCTTTCCTATATCCTTCATATATCATGTAACCTCACTGCCATGACTCCTGTCGGACATGCATGATGCTAAAAAAAGTTGCAAACGAGACGCTTTTGCCCTGGCGGCTTTCAACTCACTGTTATTGGTTGACAGTAAAACCGCTCTAAAGAACAGATTAAACAGATGGGGGTCATTTCTCATTTCTCACTCTCTCACAGTTTTGCTTAGGGCCTTCAGAAGTCTAGGGCCGACACTGGGAAGAAAGCATTCACTAAACAAACTGAACACTGATGTTTAGACAACTTGGGTCTCTCCAATTGCTTTAATGTGCTGATGAACTTTAATTGTTGAAAAGTAAACACATGTAGGCTGTCCTGTGACTAATGAGCCACAATCTTGTGGACATTAAATAAATCTCTCCTTCTGTCAGGGTTAGTGTTATTTTCTAGATCTTTACTGCATGTGTCTATTGACTGGATGCTTAGTAAATTGTCTTTTTATAACAATATTTGAGCTTTTTTTCCTGGATAATTACATCGAACACAGAGCAGATCCAGGCATATATATATTATAAATAAATATAAAACTTGTTTAATAATTATATTAAAGGATCTGTTGTGTTTTTGTTTAGACTTGTCTCTGAGGGGGAGTGTTTTTGGTGATGAAACTCTTAGACAGGAAAGTGCAATTAAAGGTGTTAAAGGGAAAAGCAGACGTTGATAATGAAGACCTGCGAGGCTTCACACACACCAGCTCAGTGGGACTGTTTGTTCAAGCACTAAACTTTTAATGACCTGAGCTATTAGCAAGCACCTATTGGTGTTGTTTACATGTGATATTTCATCCAATTTACTACAGTTTGCATCATTGTTTGTGCTACCCACCAAAACTTTTAGATGCATAACTGAATGATGAAATGTTGCTCACTAAGGGATTTTGAACTTCTGAGGGACTGTGCATTATCCTTACACAACATTTTTGTTTTAAATGGAGAATAATCATTTTTTGATGCAAATAACGGAGTCAGAATATTTAATCAGTTTCACTGTAGGAAAGAAATGAATTCTGTGTTTAACCCTGAGATGTTTTTTCTCCTTCTCGTCTCGTGCAGACAGTATAGAGGCCAATGTATCAACAGCAGAGGTCCATGTGCAGTCAGCAACACAAAATCTGAATAGAGCAGCAAGTTACCAGGTACATCATTTACTCTTTATTTCCTCTGTGGAGCACAAAAGGAGAAATGTATCCAAATGAAAGTAGATGGAAACTGTCAAGCACCAAAAAGCACAAAAATGCACCATGAAAATAGCCTAGATGACTTTTGCACACAACAGCTTCCAAGTCATACAAGAGCTTTGTTTGAGAAACAAATGCAAATTTAAGTTGGAATTTGCTGGAAAGCTTCCCTTGCACTCATTGGCCCTCATTTATCAATCTTGCGTAGATTCGGGTGTATATTTTGGTGTAAGATTATACTTACACTCCTCTCACCGCCTGATTTATGAAGATGTGCGTACCTTTGAAATCCAGGTGTACGCAATGCCTGCCCTTGATAAATCCCGCGGCCGAAAACGATCGTCATTAGAATAACACGCCCCTAAATATTCAAGTGTCCGCTCCCCCCCACGCCCTCATTTTACGCCATGGACACACGGAAGACGGCAAAGAAGAGAAACTTCTCCGACGTGGAGCCGAAATGACCTATCACAGTGCATTATTTTACAGCACGTCTTTTGAAATTAGCATTCAATTTCGAATCACGTCACATGTATAATAGTGATGATGATGATGTGATGTGAAGTACCATTCATTCACATTAATAATTGCATGACAATTTGTAATAGTATTCTTCTTATTATTATGATTTGCATTAATGATGCTTATTGTTATTTAGAAGAAGGATGTCGTCATTATTATTTCTATTATTATCATCATTTAAAAGAAGAAGAATGTATTTTTTATTATTTTGTCAGTCTGAATTATTTTTTGGTCATTGAAAGCCTTTCATTAGGCTACCGAACCCAGTCCGTGCGCACCTGCCGGGGATAGTCCTGAAACGTCAGGGTAAAGTGGGCTCGCAACTGAAGGAATATATGCTTACAAATCAAATGCTTTGGTAAAGTCTCACAAATTAAACATTGAAGTCCACGGTACACAAAAATAAATACTGAAGTTTATAATTTCTATGTTGTTTTTTTGTTTGTTTGTTTTACAGTGGGTCATAATATATCATATCTTTTAGTTTCTCAGTGCGTTTTGTGGTGTTAGGAATTTTTCTGCGCATTTCCTCACTAACTCAAAACGTGCGTACACCACCCCCTGAGCTGGTGTAGGATTCGAGCGTGCCGTACGCCAACGTCCATATTGATAAATCTCAAACTCACCGTGGTTTTGAGTGTACGCAAGGTGTACGCTGGAAATGTGGTGTACGCACTTTTGATAAATGAGGGCCAATGTGTTTGAGTTCTTGTACGTCCTACACTTTTTTATTGTATATTGCAGCTCAGGTATATTGCATTAATATATTTTAAAAATAAATTACTGTAATAAATTAAATGTACTGTTTTTTTAGTTGTCGCAACCAACTTTTACAACCATTATTATGACTATTACACTAGTGACTCATTTCTTCTGCTCCCTGTAGACGTCATTCCGCAAGAAGATCTTCATCTTCATCGCTATTCTGGTTGTGGTGGCTGTCATTATTGGTTTGATTGTCTGGGCGTCTCAGAAACAATGAGTGTGTGTCAACTCCATCTGATGCCTCACAGCATTTGCACTGGCATGTTGTCAATGACTTGCAGAGGTTTGTCACCAAGAGAATCTGACTTGACTTTTAGCTGCACTTAAGATATTGTCTTTAATGGAATATTTAATAACAGCTTAACTCTATGAAGGGCATATTTGGTGTGCTATTCATTACCACAGAAAATAATAAAATAATGCACTAACTTTCAACATTCCACAGAGACTGTACATAAAGCTTAAAGGGATAGTTCACCCCAAAATGAAAATTCAATCATTTAACCTACTCGCCCTCAAGTTGTTCCAAACCTGTGTGAGTTTCTTTCTTCTGTTGAAGTGTGTTGGAAACCAGATTGTTGACGGCACCCATTGACTTCCATAGAATTTGTTACCAATCTATTGAATTCAATGTGGCCCATCAACTGTCTGTTTACCAACTGTCATGAACACTGTTATCTTTTATTTTTTTTTTATTTTCATGGACTTTTAGTTTCTCACTTTGCCTTTATCCTTGTGGATTACCTGAGTTTGTTGTCATTAAAAGGCCTGTTTTGTTTATTGAACTCTTTTTGGACTCTCCTTCATCCTCATCTTCTTCATCTTGTGACACTAACATTCTTCAAAATATCTTCTTTTGTGTTCAACAGAAGAAAGAAATTCATACAGGTTTGGAACAAATTGAGGCTGAATAGATGACAAAAATTTCATTTTAAATAATTTGCCAATGCCACTATTAACTAATAATGATGCCATTTCCAGCTCTGTGCATCTTCCACACATCTGAATTGTTCTAGAAGCAAGCCTTTCTTATAGTAAAATTCCCTAAAGATACATTTTCAATGTTTGAAAATAGCACAAATTAATGTTTTTTATCTGTCAGTTAGTATAAAGCCGCTGCTATAAAGATGTTTAAGGGCACTTGACTTTTAAACTGTTCTCAAACACTTTATTTGAAGAAAGACACTGTGAATACAGTGCCAGTCAAAACATTAGATACTTGACACTTGAAACCATTTCTCATCATCTTAACTTTTTGATCTGAAGGCTTTTGCTTAAATGATCAAAAATAGTTTTAAGTTTAGGTATTGGATGGATTAAGGGATGTAGAGTATTGTCATTCAGAATAAGGCATTAATATGTGCTTTATAAATACTAATAAACAGTTAATATCCAAGTAATTTGCATGCTTATAATAATTTGCAGTTCATAGTGAGAATTGGAGCATAAACTAACGTGTTATCGGAAAGTTTTGGGGGGGTTTTATTTAATTTTTATACATTATGGTCACTACATAATTTGCTATAGTGGCTTTACTGTTCATCTAAATGATATGAAATAGTCATAAATAATGAGTAGATATGAATACTAATTTGACTGGTAGTGTCAGATTCATTCAGGTCCACTGTGTAAGTATATATATATATATATATATATATACTGTATATATGCATGCACAAATGAAAAGGTTGCACTCTATTTTTTGATTTTTGTATTTTTTTTTTTTTTAAATGAGTAATAATTATACATATATGTGAATCTTTGAAAGCACAAAGCCAGAACAATTTTATGGATTACATGGATTACAATGAAATGAAATGTTCAGCTTATTAAATTACCCTGAAAAGTCTCTCATATCCAGGAGAATGTAAAGCTTACTGCATTATAAGTAGATGAATTCGTAATGCACGTCGCATTTCCCAATTCCTTTTAATCTTATTAATCACTAACCATGTATCATGTCTCACTGTGCCAAAGCTTCTTTGTAAAATTATTTTTAAATGGATGCTGCAATGATTTACAATTTACAATGTTACTACATTTTTGTAGTACATTTTGTCTAACATTTTTACACAAATGTTATATAACCTAAAAAGAGAACAAAGTTTTGAACAGGTAGACACTGGATGCGAGCTAAATCAGGTTTATCCAGTTGACTCATTGTGAAAGGAAATAACCACTAGATGGAGATATTATCAAATGTGGAGTTGCACATTCAGCTCAGCTCTAATGGCAAGCGGTTGACCTTTAACCTGCTCATACACAGGGTTGCTTTCAGTAACTTGCTAAAATGAGTAGCCTAACAAATGCAGAATTCTTGCTAAAGGGGTGCCTAATTAATTTATAAATTAATGATTAGTTTTTTTTATAAATTTAAAGAAATAATAAAGAAATGTATAAATTTCTTTTTTTGTCATTAGATATATCTCAAATGTATATAAATCTCAAAACCTGAAATGTTTATGTGGATAGAAATTATGGCAAATACAAGTTTATATGAGGTTAATCCAGAGGTGTATTTCTTTTAATTCTGAAATTAATAAAACTCAATTTGGGGTCTGAGTAAATGTGTTAAGTATATTGCAAAGATTACTCTTCAAAAAGGGACTATTCATGTTCATAACATTTATACAAACTTATCATTATACAGCTCTCTGAAATAACTGTATTTGTGTCACTTTCATATCTTTTACATCACTCTGGTCTCTCTCTTCTCAAATTTTTCCCAAATGGCTTTGGATAAAAGTGCCAAATTACATAAATATACGTTGAGATAGTTCACTTTGAAATTAATTTTGTTTTAGCTTACCTCAAGGGCATCCAAGATGTAGGCGTCTTTGTTTCCGCAGTTGTTTCAGTTTTGATATTTTTAGGTCAAACCGTTCTTGTCTGTCAGTCATATAATGGAGGTCTATGGTCACCACCTCAAAGAGCATGCATAGAGAAGTCCAAATTAAACATGATTTAATGACTCGTAAATGTAAGTACACATTGATGGCCTAAGACACGAAACGAGCGGTTTGTGTGAGAAAACGAGCAGTATTTATATCACTTGTAACCACAGTCACATCCAATTGATCTGAGGGCGCGGGCACTTGAAAGCGCCGGACGTTATCTTTTGCGCATTGCAATTTCCTGTATATCTAAATATGTTTAGATCTTCACAGTGAAGGGGAACACTTCTGAAATCTGTGTAATCAATGAGTGACGTACACGCGCGAGAGATCACTTCCGGGGCTTTCGCAGACAAAAGCGCCCACGCCCTCAGATCACTTGGATGCTGTGGTTACAAGAGGTAAAAACAATATAAATACTGCTCGTTTTCTCACACAAACCGCTCTTTTCGTGTCTTAAGCCATCAATGTGTACTTACATTTACGAGTCATTAAATCATGTTTAATCTGGACTTCTCTGTGCATGCTCTTTTGAGGTGGTGACCATAGACCTCCATTATATGACTGACAGACAAGAACGGTTTGACCTAAAAATATCAAAACTGAAAATACCTAGAGGAAACAAAGACACCTACATCTTGGATGCCCTTGAGGTAAGATAAAACATAGCAAAAATTCATTTCAAAGTGAACTATAGACCATTTCACAAGATGTAAACAACACTGGTCCAGAAGCACTTCCTGTTTCAGTTTTTTAACACTACATAAAAGCTGGGATAAAATACAACCAACAGAACATTTAAAACTGAATCAAAAAAGTTAAACAAACATCTTTAAGATGTTTTCTTTACATGTGAAATAAAGAAAACAGTTACAAACTGAAACAGGAAGTGCTTCTGGACCAGTGTTGTTTACATCTTGTGAAATGGTCTATATTTAAGTTCAACAAAGATCCGATTAAAACTGTGTAAAATATCCTCCAAACTGTGGAAAAACTGTGTTTTAAAGTGTGAAACACTTGCGCATTGAGTTTTAAATAATGAAAAATGTGATAGTGGTTATGTACAAAAATCAGCAGAACATGTTTGCCAAAGTTTGTGTCATCCACCTCACTGGAACAATGCAAACCCTTTACACTGAGGATCGACTGAGACTGATTCTGCTGGAAATACCTTGATGTCTCTCCAAAGTGCTTCACATGAATCTCACAGCACTGAACCTCGCTGATGGCTGTCAGAAATATTCGGGTCTAGAGAGATCAGTAGATATCTAATCAGTTGATCTCCCAGCTGTATGTTCTTCTCCCTTGATGCTGTTGGTCTTGGAAATAAAAGGGAACACAGATTGTAGAACGTCTTTATTGTGGAGCCTCCAGGAGTGACTGTGTTTCAATGAGGAGAAGTTCAGAGCTGCTGGAGAGACAAATAACATCTTCAGAGATCCGTGGTTACGCATTATGAAGGAAGTCAGAGGGGAACAACAGTATGTTTAGATGTTTCTTCCAAGTACTTCAGAATGAATCTTACAGCAATGAACCAAACTGATGTCTGTCAGGAATATTCCTGTCCAGAGAGATCTGTTTCTTTCCCTGTCTATGTGATTCTGTATGTGGCCGCAGCAGCTGTGGCTCTTCTGACCGTGTGTGGAAACCTGCTGGTCATCATCTCTGTTAGTCACTTCAAGCAGCTGCACACTCCTGCTAACATCCTCATCCTCTCTTTGGCTGCGTCTGATCTGCTGGTCGGAGTTTTTGTGATGCCGCTTCACCTGTCTTGGGTCATCGAGTCATGTTGGCTTTCTGGACCAGTGATGTGCTCTGTGTTCAATTTTGTGACTTTTCAAGCAACAAGCGTGTCTGTTCACACTGTGGCTCTAATAGCAATTGATCGGTTTCTGGCTTTACATTCTCCTTTCTTTTACTCAGAGAAAATCTCACCCACTGTGATCTGCATAGCAACTTTATTTAACTGGCTGTTTTCACTCCTTTATAACTTCACTCTTCTCTTCATTAATGGAAACTTCACTTTTATGTGTCCAGGAGTATGTCTTTGTATTGTAGATTGGGTTTCCTCCTTCATTGATCTCCTGGTTGTGTTTCTAATCCCATGTACACTCATCATAATATTATACAGTCATGTTTTTGTCATTGTGAGGAAACATGTGACTGCTATAAGAGCCGTTCAGGTTCACAACAGCAAAGATTCCTCTAAAACCAGAGTCATTGACAAATCAGAGCGAAAAGCCGCATCAGCTCTCGGGATTCTGGTGTTTGTGTTTCTCCTGTGTTTACTGCCATATTATATTTTTTCTTTAACAAATTTCTTGAGAGATGACTCATTTTCAAATGTCATCAACAGTGTTTTGATTCTCTTTTACCTGAATTCCTCTATCAATCCACTTATTTACGCAATGTTATACCCCTGGTTTAAGAAATGTTTAAAAATAATTCTTACTCTTAGAGTATTTAACACCAATTCCTCTCTAATGAATGTGCTCTCACAGCTGCATGTGGGGTAATGTCTATTTTCTATGCTTGGGCCAATTCTTTTTTCACTTTATTTGCTTTGGATCAAAAAAAAATTATCCGCTTTGGATCATTTTTTTAAAAAAACAGAACATTAGCTTCCATCTCTACGCAAATCTATCTGCCCATCAAAAGAAAAGATGGTAGCTCCTTATCAAGATGAATTGACTGTTTTAATGACATTAAAGCCCGCTGGATGGTCTTAAATGTTTTACATTTTAATGTGAGTAAAACGGAGGTCATGGTTTTTAGACCCAGTGGCACCTCTGATGTCTCACTAATACACTGTAAAACATAGTGATGGTTTAACTTAAAAAAAGTAAGTAACCTGGTTGCCTTGAAATTTTAAGTTCACTGGTGGAAAAAGTGAGTTAATACAATGAAGGAGAATGATTTAATCATCAGAAACTCAAAATTATATGTTATCTGAACTAAATAAATTATTTAAGTTGATTTGACAAAAGAAAAAATGTTGTGATTACTACACTGTAAAAAATATTGTTGGTTTAACTTAAAAAAGTAAGTAACCTGGGTTGCCTTAAAATTTTAAGTTGATTGAACTGGAAAAAGTGAGTTAATACAATGAAGGAGAATGATTTAATCATCAGAAACTCAAAATAATAAGTTATCTCAACTAAATAAATTATTATAAAGTTGATTTGACAAAAGAAAATGTGTTGTGATAACAAATCTTGAAAATATTTTTTTACAGTGTAGACCTGGGCACTTTGCAATCTTACGTTAAGTCTATTATAACAAACCTGGCCGTTAAAATGGACTATGATTTTAAAATGGAGAAGCAGATAAATTCAGATAAAATTTTACTAAGCTTAAGCCCTTTTTATCCTTCACAGACTTTAAGAGGGTCATATATGATTTTATTACAACACGCCTTGACTAATGTAATGCTCGGTATGTGTCATCCAGGCCTCCCTCTCTCATCTAACTGGTGCAAAATGCTGCCGCTCATCTCCTTACTGGAACTCGTAAGCGAGATCACATCACCCCTGTCTTTGCCTCTCCACTGGCTCAAAGTTAAATTTAGGATTGATTTTAAGATTCTGTTGTTTGTTTTTAAAGCCCTTAATGGACTAGCTCCAGCTTATATCACTGATCTGTTGAAGCTACATGCTCCTTCAAGGTCTTTACGGTCTGCGAATCAGTCTCTTCTTGTTGTCCCTAAAACAAGGCTCAAGAGCAGAGGGGATGTCAGACTGGTCCCTAACCTTCCGGTTTTTAAATCGCGTCTAAAAACACATTTTTATTCCTTGGCGTTTAATCCAACATGAGAGCAGGATGTTGTTGTATGTTGTGTTGTGATTGTCTGGTGTTGTATTTCATCTTAATTATTTACATCTATTGTATTTTTTATTTATTTACTTTTTGTAAATGTACAGCACTTTGGTCAACCTCGTCGTTTTAAAAGTGATTTAGAGATAAAGTTTGATTGATTGATTGATATGCTCTCTTTAAGCTCTTAATAAGAAATAATGACAAAAAAATGTCTTTCCTTCATTGCTTTTTAGTTGTTTATTTAGTTTTTCCTGGTGTTCTTTTTCATCATTATTGTTAAAATAGTATTATATTATCTTATATTGTGATGAATAAAACCAGATATATTATTCAAGAAGCAAAATCCCAAGTCACTGTTATGGTGATTAGTTGGGCTCTTGACCCTCAATTCATTAACTTTAGATTTTGTTTTGGCTGCGATACATGAGTTATAATAGCCAGATGAACTAATAAAAGGTGATCTGATGGTGATGGTTGTGTTTTAACATAATTAGTATTTTACAATCATTTGACCTGAATCACTGAAGTCATATAGTGCCTAATATATGTGTTAGGTTTACTCTATTAATTATAGCAGAATATGAATGAATATCAGTATGAATATCAGAATAATTTCTTTAAACTTTCACTTATAAAATGTTTTACTTCTCTTTAATTTTTTTAAGACACACAGACATCAATAATTAGCCTGTGCATATCAACAATGGTGACAATCATAAAGCATGTTGCATTGCATTCTGGGTGCCACCAATCAAAACACATTCATGGCTCCCATAATGCATTGCTGCATGAATAAATAATGAGCTTATGTTCAGAGGTGATCTGTTTGTCACCATTGCTGAGATTTATACGCTAATTCTTGATGTCTGTGTGTGCCTACATAAAACAATTTGGATTTCGTTTGGATTTCATTGAAAAGGCTAAAAATGGTATGTTCTAAAAATGTTCCGAGATGAGATGCTTAAAAATTCATTTGATCAGGTCCGCACAATCGACGGACAACCTCTTCACCCAGACCGACCCATTTCATATCCATATTTCGCGATTATAAAAGATAAGTTGTATCAGGTGACCCAAGACACCCAGTCAAAGCAAGATACAATTCAGTTGTTAGTTCCGAAAAGCCGCCGGGAAATGCTTTTTCAGGTGGCTCATTGTAATCCGATGGCAGGGCATTTAGGGCAGGCAGCTGCACTAAATTGCCTAATGACTTGATTTTTTTTTGCCGGGCATCCACGAGAATGTGTGCAAGTGGTGCGCCTCTTGTTGTATTTACCTCAATTACATCAAAAGTAACTGTAATTAAATTACAGATAAATTAAGAGTAATCCCTTACTTTACATTTTCAAGGGAAAAGTAATTAAATTACAGTTACACCCAACACTGGTTGTGATTTACAATAATATGCATGAATGTTTCTTCCCTGCTGTTTATTCCCGTAGCCTCATCGGATATGGGTGATAATACTTTTAAACGTAGAAGTAAACGTGGAAATGATTATGTGTACATCTGGATTTTAAAGAATTTTTGTCAGCTTAGTTTTTGATTTATATTTTTCATATAAAGTCGATCTATGTTTATGACTGTAAAGCTGTATGTTCTTCTCCCTTGATGCTGCCAGTCTGGGAAAGAGTCGACATGTCAAGTGTATAAAAGGGAACACAGATTGTAGAACGTCTTTATTGTTGAGCCTCCAGGAGTGACTGTGTTTCAGTGAGGAGCAGTTCAGAGCTGCTGGAGAGACAAATAACATCTTCAGAGATCTGTGGTTATACTGAACCTTATATAAAGAAAGTAACAATGAACAATACTCTGTTTACTTGTTTCTTCCAAGTTCTTCAGAATGAATCTTACAGCTGATGTCTGTCAGGAATATTCCTGTCCAGAGAGATCTGTTTCTTTCCCTGTCTATGTGATTCTGTATGTGGCCGCAGCAGCTGTGGCTCTTCTGACCGTGTGTGGAAACCTGCTGGTCATCATCTCTGTTAGTCACTTCAAGCAGCTGCACACTCCTGCTAACATCCTCATCCTCTCTTTGGCTGCGTCTGATCTGCTGGTCGGAGTTTTTGTGATGCCGCTTCACCTGTCTTGGGTCATCGAGTTTTGTTGGATTTCTGGACCAGTGATGTGCTCGTTTTTTACATTAGTGACTTTTCAAGCAACGTGCGTGTCTGTTCACACTGTGGCTCTAATATCAGTTGATCGGTTTCTGGCTTTAAATTTTCCTTTCTTTTACTCAGAGAAAATCTCACCCACTGTGATCTGCATAGCAACTTTATTTAACTGGCTGTTTTCACTCCTTTATAACTTCACTCTTCTCTTCATTAATGGAAACTTCACTGTCATGTGTCCAGGACAATGTTTTTATATTATTGATAGAGTTTCATCCTTCATTGATCTCCAGGTTGTGTTTCTTATGCCATGTACACTCATCATAATATTATACACTCGTGTTTTTGTCATTGTGAGGAAACATGTGACTGCTATAAGAGCCGTTCAGGTTCACAACAGCAAAGAAACGTCTAAAAAGAGAGTCAGTGAAAAATCAGAGCGAAAAGCCGCATCAGCTCTCGGGATTCTGGTGTTTGTGTTTCTCCTGTGTTTACTGCCATATTTTATCTGCTCTGTAGTGATTTCGTACAGTAATGATGATTTGTTTTATGTCAGAGATGTTACTGTAATATTTTTCTTACTGAACTCCACCATTAATCCCATCATTTATGCCTTATTCTATCCATGGTTTCAGAAAAGCTTAAAATTAATTTTCACATTTAAAGTGCTTAAAAAAGACTCTTCTCTGATGAATGTGCTGTAGGAGTTGCTGAATATAAGACACAGGATTTCATCTTTACATTATTTTGTCATCTATTAAACATGACTGCAAAGACAATATTGTTTTCAATCATGTAGGCTATTTCACACCTCACTGATTTTTCTTTTTGTTTGTGATGAACAGAAATGTTGAAAAGTGTACAAAAGTAACAAAAAATAGCTTTGACCAACAAATATAGCAAATGATCAATTGTTTTAAATGTATAATTTATAAAGAAAACAGGCCTAGACACACTTCACCAGTAACTCCAGCCTAGCAGAGGGCGCCTTCTCCGCTTTATCCGCCACAAACCCTAAATGGATGCATAGAGGAACTAATTGAAATGTTTTCTATGCGATGAATGTTGTAGACATACGTCTATGGTCTCTATGCATAGACATATGTCTATGGTGACTATGTTATTAACCTTGTTCTCCTCCAGGAGGCGCTATACGGATCATAAATGATCGCTGTGAGTCTCATTCAAAGGTCAAAAGCAAAAGTTGTTTTGTTTTTTTACCTTACTGAGGCAAAATTATAATGATAATCTTAAATACATTAATTTAAAGGATTGGTAACTGGAATAAAAAGCGAAATACATACCAGTCATTTCCAACCGACATGTTCAGCCTGACTGCGCTGAGAAACGTAACAGAGACCACGTGACGTTATGATTTGCGCTTAGATTTGGCTTAATCTGTGTTTAATACAATTTCTTAATAATTCTTCATGTCCGTAACTCGGAAAGAATTAAAGAAAAGTAAGTCTTTACGAAAGTAACGAGTTCCCCCCTGAACAACGTTACGACTTCAAGCTGGTGCTCATGTAGCAGTATCAACATTAGTTTCAACGGTTTTATTTTTCTTTATAAATACTTTTTTTCATTTGCTCTAATGTTTACAACTAGAAAGAAAGAAAGAAAGAAAGAAAGAAAGAAAGAAAGAAAGAAAGAAAGAAAGAAAGAAAGGAAGAAAGAAAGAAAGAAAGTATTTAGGGTAAGTTGTACTTGTCACATGACCGAGATAACGCCATTACAGTTAAGCCCCGCCCCTTTCTAGCCATCTTCGTTTGTAATTTCTCATCTAGTCAGTTATTGTAACTTCTACCCCGGTGGCGAAACTTTAAACGAATGAAGAGCTTCGGGTGCGAGAGCAGCGAATGACCGTACATCGAAGTATTATGGGACGTTTATCCACTAGTATTTAAACTCAGGTGATATTATATCAATAGTATGTCATGTCAAGTAAGTATTAAATCAGAACAGAGTTTGACATGACTTATAGTAACGGTACCGCACGGAATTCCAGTAAGTTAGATTGACAGGCGTAACGTTAACTCTCCTCAACATGACATTTGTGATTCAACTCGAATGAATGAATATTAAGTTAACTCGAAAAAGTTCTGAACGCGGTTGAATCGAGTGAAAATGGGAGATGAATCAAAGTCAGTGGAAGAAGGAGAGGTAAATGCTAATATATATTTTTCAAAAACACCCGTGACTGATGCGGAGGTGAGTTCTGATCATCACAACACACCGCCGGAAACGCGTTTATACAAAAAAAGATGGATAATGGTGTGTTTATTCAGCTCATATTCGCTGTGTAACTCGTATCAATGGATTCAATACGGAATCATCAACAATATCTTCATGCGCTTCTACGGCGTGGACTCTTTCACCATTGACTGGATGTCCATGATTTACATGTTGACGTACATTCCTCTCATTTTTCCCGTCTCTTGGCTCCTGGATAAACAAGGTCTGAGGGTTATCGCGCTCGTGGCCACGGCTCTGAATTGCGCGGGCACGTGGATCAAGGTGGCCAGCGCGAGACCGGACCTTTTTCCCGTGACATTTTTGGGTCAGTTCATGTGCTCCGTGGCTCAGGTGTTTATTCTCGGGATGCCCTCGCGCATCGCATCGGTGTGGTTCGGGTCGGACGAGGTGTCCACTGCATGCTCCATCGGGGTCTTCGGAAATCAGGTGGGTTTCAAAACAATAATGTCATCATCATTGCTCATTTATCTGTGCTGGGGGGTATTGCACAAAAGCAAGATAAGGGATTAAGCTGGGATTTTCCAGTTATCCTGGCTGAATTTAGCCCTGACTCGGTTGCACGAATGGAGGCTAAATTAATCTACGTTAAGTTACTATGGAGATTTACACTTTGCAGCTAGCCTGCTCTAGAGCAGGCTAACAACCAGGCTAAGATTAATCCTAGTGATTTATCGGCCTGTTCCTCCCTAAATCCTACTAGATATTAATGTTTTAGTTACTTTATGCTCCTGCATTAAAATACTAGATATACTGCCATTCATCTAAGAATGCGTAGGCTACTGCTATTTTAGTTATTATTAAAAACTGCTGTTCATTTCACTGTCAGAGGTTTGATGAATATGTCATTTGAGATTCAAAGCGTTTGTTGGCATACACCTACAGTGAGGAAAGCAGATTTTCCTGAGCAACTTTGCTGGTCACAATAAATGCCAACACAGTGCAAAAGAACTATAATATAAAATATGAGAAATAGAAAGACTGTATATCTATGCAAATATAGAGTAGAAATGTATAGTTGAATGATAAAAATTATAGGCTATTTTATTGCAGTTGATGAGAAAAGAAATGGCTCATTAAGTCGTAAATGTGGTTTCATGTAACAACAAGGTCAATATGTAGTATATATAGAGATAGACTAAATATTTGTTTTTACTATTCACAATGGCTTGTCCTTTGTTGGATGATGTAGTTGATGAGGAAGTTTTAATACTCAGACGAGCATTCAGGCATGAAAGAGTTTTCCTGAGATATAGGGCAGACCCATTGGAATCACTTGCTTCCCTTTATAGGGCCAGCCCCTCTGCTGTGGTGAAGTCTTGGGTTGGAGGGCCACCCCCGTACCAGATATATGACTTTTTTTTATTGCTAAAATCAGCACAGACGATTAAATGTCAGCAAACATATCACCATGTTCTCTGCAGACAAGTCACTTACCAGCCTGCAAAATATTCTTGTATTTAATCTTGACTTTCTGCCAAGTCCTTTTTTGGCCAGACATGTTTGTTCTTTAAGAGGAATAGATACAAATGATAAAATAGATTAGATGGATAAAAATAGAGCAAAATATCTGATAATAGATCACATTAAATCAATTAGAAACAAAATCTACATAGAAATAGATAAAAAGATTAAAGAGATAATAGACAGAGTTAAAAAGATTAAAGAGATAATAGACATAAAAGAAACTAAATACATCAAATATACACATAGTGGTTAAGTGTTTGCAATTACTGGTCACATTTAAGGCAAAATATACAACTATTTTTTAAATGACAAGTAACTTCTCGAATTGTAATTATGAGGGTTACAGTGGAGCCCTGCACACTCAAATGCTCGGTTGTTTTAAACCAATTTTGGGTCAAATATGGACAGACATGGGTTAAATTTATTAGTTGCATTTTTAAATCCAACATTTGGGTTTGTCCATATTTGACCCAAAATTGGCTTAAAACAACCCAGCATTTTTTTAGAATGTGGTTATTTATGGACTTAGCATTCAATCGGTCTGCTATTGTTTGCCAGGCATTCTCTCTTTGTTTTATTACAGCATCTGTATTGGCTTTTTTACATATTATATGTTTCACTTCTTCATACGTTTCCATAAGAAGCTGTTGCTCATTAGGTGAAAGTATGCCGCACGCGTTTTGTCCACTTTTGGATCGGTGATTTTCGGCGGAGCGGAATTTCGGCGCCACTAGCGGTAGCAAACGTAACTACAAAAATAATGATTGTTTCCACACAGTATCCCTGAACACACCTCATTTGCTATTGGTCAGCAAAGAGTCCTTCCCACAATCTCTCGCCATTGGTTGAACCAATGTTTGGCCAAGTTGAGATTTGTGCTGTGTGCTGTGGGATTTTTTTTACCTTTCAAAATTGTTCTGTGGCACTAAAAAAAGTTGGCAAACACTGTTTGAATTTATACTGAGAAGAAAGATTAAAAACTACAGCTGTCAATAGAAAGCAGAATAAAACTCAGAACATCACATCATGCGTATGCACCTGAATTTGTTGTTAAACTTGTTTTAAACTTGTAATTTGGAGTGTTTTAAATGAGTGACCACCACATGCCCAAGGTCATTTGCCTAAAACCCCCATCTAAAGGCTAGGCTATCCTCACAACCTTTGCTTTTACAGTCTTTCATCACTGTCAGCAAACATATGATGCTCTCACAAACCTTGAAGCTTGAGCTATATGAAGCTTATCTTACTCTTTCACTGTATTTGATGAAAGATATTTAAGATTAAATGACTATGTCTAACATGTAATCTTGTGGTTTCAGTTTTTTCTACATGTTATGTAAATTAAGTTATTTGTGAATTCATGAGTTATGCATACGCAAACTATGAATCAGACAAATGCTCTAATTAAAGGGATACTTAAGAATTCAGCATTAGGCTTTGTATTATTAGTAGGGCTGGGTATTGTTACAAAATGTTCGATACCGATACCTTGACTTCGATACCGGTTCCTGAACGATACCTTTTTTGATACCAATTTTATGTTTTAACAATTATAGTGTTAACCAGATTTAACAATATAATATTACATTTTTATTTTATTTTTCAGTTTGTTGACTTTTTCACACTCACATTTTGAGTATGTAAAAAAGCACCAATGCTAAAGTTTAATATGTTTCCTAATCATTTAACAACATGTTCTCTTTGCTTCAATGAGCTCATTGTTTCTGCCTTATCTTAATGCATTGTTTAACAATGTAACTGAATCAAGCACACGTCTAGAAAGCTCCAAATTCAAAAATAATTTCACATTTCTTCTACATAAATGACCCGTTTTAAATACACATTTGTCTTTCCAGAGGTGAAGTATCCCTTTAAGTACATTTAGGGTCAGATTTACTAAACAGGGCAAGTTAGCGTGAGAATTCAATTTAAAAAAAAACACCAATGGGAGTGGAAAGTTATGCACATGATCATTTCCATAATGACCAACACAATCAACCAAGAGCAGCTCAAATTAGCGTCTGGTTGAAGACATGTTTGATATAAAATGAAATAATGGTGCAAATACCAGTAAATTGACTATAGTCAAACCTTAGTAATTCATCTTGCATGAATAATTTAAATACTCTCCTCCCATAAGTTTTGTGTCTGAATGGGAAACTTCTACAAATGCATATAGCAATAAGGTTAGCCACAAAAATAACCCTTTCGGGGTTCATTTTTCACTGATTATCTTTAGTAAATCCTGACAGTAGTTTTTTAACATCAAAAGAAGGTTATTAAGTTGTTAGTAAATCTGTCCCCTAAACTTCACAATATATATATATATATATATATATATATATATATATATTTACATTGATCATGCTATTTTAACTTTTCCATGGGTCCCTGAAATCCATTTGATAACCTCTGTTTAAAGCCAAGAAAATGGAGAATGAGCGCAGGTGGAAAAAGTTATGTTGATAAATGCCAGTGATGTTTAACTCTTGCAACCACATATAATTGCATGACAGAGTCTTTAGTGTCCCATGTGGATCAAGGCCTTGCTAGCAAATGCAATTTTAAAAGCACACCTCTGTTTGAAATCAAGCTATAAATGTCCATTTATGTACTTGTGTTCAGTATGTATGTTCTGTACTGCTTCATTTTTAACCTCACAGATGTTCGGTTTTTTTTTTCAGTTGGGGATTGCAATCGGCTTCCTCGTTCCACCCATACTGGTTCCAAATGTGGACGATCTGGACACGTTAGCGTCTAACATCAGAGTCATGTTCTACATAACAGCGGGTGTGGCCACATTCTTGTTTGTGTTGGTTGTCTTTGGTAAGTCCAAACGTTAGGCTAGTTATACTATTGCCACAACATTGTTCTATTCCAAAACATAGAGAGCTGTTTACTGAGGAGTTTTTTAAAACATGTTCCTGACATGAAAGTTGTTCCAAAAGATATAGAAATTATAGGGATAGTTCATCCAAAAAAGTCCCATAAGCCTTTTCTTCATCTTCTTAACTTTTTAATGAATCGGAGACATTTCTGTCCCTCTATTGAAAGCCAAAACTCTGAAAGTTCAAAATTAAAGTCTTCATCATATGAGTTTCTTCATGGATTTATTTTACAATCTCTTCATGGACATTTTGAAGCTTCAGAGTACGGACAGGAATCCCTAAAGATGGGATTGTTGTTGTTCTAAAGATTTTTATGGGTTTGGAACGACACGAGTAAATGAAGTCTACGGACAGAATTAAATTTTTTGGGTGAACTGTCCCTTTAATTATGATGCCTTCCTTATATCTTCTTTTAGCCAAAATAATGCACTTGTACTTCACAGAAAAGACAATCCCACAATGCATTGTGATGGATTCAGTGAAACATAAATCGAAGATGGCAAATAATGCCAGAAAAATGTTGATTGTAATAAATCAAATTAAAATGGATTATTGTGCTACTATCTTAGAAAAATGTGAGTAAAATTTTTCATGATTTTATCATCAAACTTGATAAAAAAAAAAAAATAATAATAATAATAATTGAGTGGCACGTGGAGTTGCTGCCTATATAGAGAGTTTCTGTGAAGATTAGGGTGCTGTCCTCGAAGGCCTGTGTAGGCATTTGGCAGCGAGACAGCTCACTAGTTTGGTGTGTTTATATTTGACTGTTTAGTGTGTTCTTCCTGCATGAACAAAACCACAAATTTGTTAATTGTTTATATTAGGGATGCTCAGCACCGATACAATTTTTTCAGAACCGATCTGATCTGATTCCAAAAGTATTTACCTATACCGATCCGATACCGGCGCAGTTTTTATTTTTAAATCAAGTAGAATTTCTATAACTCTGTGTTGAACTGATAATCACTCTTTTTGTGTGTTAAACACAATCTACACTATCTACACAATAGACAACGACATTATAAAAAATATATATATATCATCTTAATCTAAAACAAAAATGTTATTATGAACTAGGTTAGTGGATAATTTAGCATTAAAATTTAGTCTAGAAAAAACATTTAGTGGGGAACAAATAAGAGACAATAAGTGTAGCACTAAATCTGGTAAAACGTTTCACAGAGTGCTTTGTATTGTTGTAAAATACATTCATGAAAAACAAGATAACACAAATCAAAAAGATAAATTATTTTATATATAGCCTACTTTAAAATTAAGACATTTTTTTTAAATGTATAATTTAATGAGGCAGCGACATAGATAGATAGGACAGAACAAGAAAGGCTATTAATTAGGGCTGGGTATCGATTCACATTTCAATTTCGATTTCGATTCACAAGCTCTCAGTTCGATTCGATTTCGATTCTCGATTCAATTTTCGATTTCGATTCCTGATTTGATTCTCGATTCGACTATAATAAAGATGTAATACAAATCCTATATTTATAAAAAAAGAACAGTGGACATATGTTTACTAGTGGTTAATTAATACAAGGAAATTAAGAGCCATAAACCTGTATATATAAAACTCTTTTTATTTTAGGTACACTAAATGCATACAGAGAATAAACAGGATTTTGATGCAATATGCAAAAAAAGTCAGAACAGTCGCACAGCTTGATCAAACAGTATCATGTTATTTTATGTTTAAGATAGATATAGATAAATAAATATATAAATATTTAGACTTTTTTTTTTTACATTGATCTTACCTAAATGGTAATGTAATTTTTTGTTTATTTTTGTTTTAAGAGTTTATGTATGGATGCTTGATTTCAATCTTTGAATTAAATTGAAAAAAGTAGCACAAATAAATACAATAGAATAAAGACACAAATTGAGAGACATTTTGGGGTAGTTTTTTGGGTATGTCAGAAATACTACAGAAACTGAATAAAGTAATCCAATGTAAAATAACACTGCATAGTCTTTTTAGTCCAGACTGAATTAAATACAAAGGCTATTAATTCTGATTGCTTACAATTAATACTATATTCTGTTGTTATGACAACAGAATTAATGACTGACACAAATGGCTGCGTTCACTTTAAGAACTAGTGCGCGAATCCATTACTGTTTCATTAACTTTCTGTCACACGTGTTTAATGCTAATTTAAGACATTACCGACTGTCTTTACGAGGTTACTCACCAAGACCAGAGTTTTGACATAATGTTGCGTGTTTTAACTGTTAAAGTGATATAATCCAGGATAAAACTTTTGTTTCTGGCGAGCTGTTTGTGAGGCAGATTTAGGCTGTAACGTTACTAGCACGCAGTGAAAGACATCTCAAACCAAAGAGTGCGCGAGCACGGGATGGTTTAACATTGCTTGTAAAACTCAAAAAGACGTGAAAATGATAAACGTTAGTTACGATCATAGGTTACGATGCAATGCTGGCCCGATTGTTAAGTGAATATTCCGTCATGTCCCGACTCCTAAACGCGTGTGTGTATCGACAGCTGCAGCGCTTGGCGCTTGATTAGTGCAGAGAGACGAGAAGATGCAGCACCGCGTCCGCGAGCCCTTTATATGGAAAAAATCGATTCCGGCCGTTGAGAATCGATTTTGAATCGAACACATTTTAAAAAACGATTAATCGAAAAATCGATTTTTTTGCCCAGCCCTACTATTAATAATCTTTCATTGCGCAAAATTATTATGATATGAAAGGTTTTAATTTTCAGTTACTATGCACGTGAAGAACAATTATAGTGCTCTCTCCTGTGTTGTGAACTAACAGACACCCGGTAGAAAAAAGGTACAGCAATAAAGTCCAGAAAGATAAAGTCATTTTATGCAAAACCATAGAGCTTCATCTTCAGATCAAGTATAATAATAGTAACATTGAATCATCTCGAAGAGTTGACTGTCGTAACTGAACGCGACTGAATAGAGAATGACTGACAGCTGCAGCGGTGAATTTAATCACTTAAATATTAATTTCTATCTCACGTTATACTAAAGAATGGCTTCTAAACACTTATAATATAGTGGAAGGCCGATACCCGATCCGGCCGAATTGCAGTATTGGATCGGCGCGTCCCTAGTTTATATACATACTAATATAGAAATGATCAATGTGTGTGTTATTTTGTTAGTCTGCTTGTACGAGTGTAAATGGAGCATGTTAGTGCTTGATGGTTATCTGACCTTTAGCACAAATGAAAGAAGTGGAAATTAGATTTTTTTTCTTTCACTTTTTCAGCGCATTTTGCTCACTCTGTATTTCGGTCATTTAAATGCTGAGCTTCCGCTTTTTATCTTGACGTGACCACAAAGCCTCCTGTCACATTTTGAGCAACACTCACGTGCATTCAGTTCTGTTCTCACAAGCAAAAATGTTTGCCTACACAATAAAAAGAAGAAAATCACAAGATATTTGCATGCCAAAAGCGTACTCGCCCTCATTTTTTTCCCCATGGAACACAAAAAGAGGTGTTTTAGAAAATGTGATGGCTGGTTAAAAGTTCAACAAAAGTAGCATAAAAGTTTTCCTTATGACTTGTGGAATATATTCAATTCAAAGTCTGTCTGTTAAAGGGTTATTTCAACCCACAATTTCAGGGCTTTCCTGTTGTGCAAACAGCAGAGCGTTGGTGCTTGCAACGCCAAGGTCATGGGTTCGATTTCCAGGGAAAGCAAAAACTGATAAGAATGTTAATGTTTACCTTGAGATGCAATTTAAGTCGCTTTGAATAAAATCGTCTGCCAAATGCATAAATGTAAAAAAATTAATTATCCCTTAATTCACTCACCCTCAAGCCATCATAGGTGTATATGACCTCTTTCAGCCGAACACAATTGCCATTATATATAAATAAAAGTAATCCATATGGCTCCAGACTTCTATCCTAGACTCGTAGAAAAATATTCATATTCACAAAATATTCATATTCACAATATTAACAGACTCCTAGAAAAATATCCATATTTATAACTTTATAAACTATAATCGCTGGCTTCGGCAAGGGGCGCAGTAGGGGTGTAAATCGAACAGTTCATCACGATACGATATGATATCAATTCTCTCAGCAAGCATACAATATTTGGCGATACCTCAAAAAAAATATGCGATTTTTAGATATTATGTGCCAAGTTGACACAACCTGTTACATTTTTATTAACTCACAAATGCAACCAAAATATAGAACATTCACTTTTTATTAAATAGGTAAGCTTTTGTTAGCCAATTTCTGCTCATATGTTAAATATACTATAGTATATGAATAAAGTATGTATATTGAATTATCAACTAAGATGTTATTATAGTTTTTGTTCCAGCTTATGAATCCTTACCTTTTTAAATACATATGATAAAATGTATACTTTTTTCAAAGTAAGAGTACACTTGAAATATTGTTGAAATTGTAATTGTTGTTGATTTATGTATTTTTTTTTGTCTGAAAAAAATCCTCTGATGAGTTTTTGTCCAGAGGCTAAAGACAACAGTCAGTAGTAGGGCCTGTCCCGCATGTTTTCAACCCACCCATAGAGGGCGATCTCACTCACAGAATGAACACATAGTGTCGGCCATCTTTTTTTTAGAAAGCTAAGCTAGCAGGCTCTTGTTCTGTGGAGAAAGCCGAGTAGTTGGGATTACCATCCTCTTTTTCCCGGACATGTCCGGCCGTCGATGTCTGGGATTCAGCTTTTGCTTTCTGCAGTCGACATTCATTGTTTACATAGACAGCTTTTGTTTTAATCCAACTGAATTAATTCCCATTGGTGAATCTGTATGTAGTGTTTACATGAACGCTAAACAAGTGATCGGTTGATGTGCGTTTTAACATTGCTAAGAAAATTTCCGCTCCTCCGTGAGAGATACGAGACCGGTGCGTCTCACAGGTGTCGCTCAGCGTTCTCCCGCGGCCCTCACTCGTCCCGCTCGCCACAGTAAACATAACGAATGGCGACTGTAGAACGCAAAAGCCAAATCCCGGACATTTTGGGCGATCTCGAAAACACATTTTCCGGCAGACTCATCTCGGAGACTCACTAGTAGTCTAGACTTGTTGTTTAACTTCTGCGCTCTGTTACCGGTAGGCGTGGCCTCCTAGGGGAGCAAAGCAAGTGCATTCTGGGAGTTGTTGTCTTTCATCCACATAAGCCAAAAATACATTTTCTAACTTTTCTTTTGGTGAGTGAATTATGGGATCATTTTCATTTTTGAGTGAACTAACCCTCTAGTTCAACATTTTGTAATTTTCCGAGCTTCCTTCCTTATTTTGATTGTGTATCAATGAACACCTGGGGTTCCCTTTTATGTTCCATGGAAGAAAATAAACTCATGCAGCCTGCAACAACATGATGGTGAGTTATGAGGACATATTTTATTTTTAGATGAACTGTTTTCCTAATTTCCCTTGAAACAAACGGTTTCGTTGGTCTGTTGTTTAATTCTTTAGTAAATAACAAGCCTAGCGGATATTAGTGTTTCTGTCTAATAGTTCTACTGCTTAAATCCCGCTGCAGAGTTTTTAATGTCTAGTGCATGTTTAAAAAAAGCAAATATGACCTAGTTCGATCACCTGCAGTTTTGGGGACAGCAGGCTAAATTTTTACTCAAACACAAACATTCCCAGATGTTATAACATGGTGAATTAATTCGCTTTAACACACTGACCATTATTTCATTCTTTAGTATTTAAGCATTCACTTCTTTAAAACCTCTTTTCTTTTTAAACGGTTTAAATTAGCAAACATATTAGCTTCGTGTCAACCTCGGCATCTTAGATGAATTTTTTTCCAATGCATTCTGGGATTGCCTGTAATTCAGTTCTGTCTTAAATTTTCCCCAAAAAGAGTGTATCTTAGAAGGCATTATTTTGCTGCCTATATTTTGTTTACAGCCTTCTTATATTTTATATTAAACAGCCTTGCTGTGTGATGTTTTTTTTATCTAGGTTGCAGTGTTATTTTAGTATTATTTATTTAGTATTATATTATTTATTAATATTTTGAATTAGTTTTTATTTTAAAGATTTTAGATTTAGTACATTTGTGATTTACTCCTGTGATTTTATTATTTTTTTTATAGCTCTATTTAGCTTTTATTTAATATTCAGGTTTAGTCATTTTAATACTAGGAACTTATTTAGTACTTATTTATTAATTTGTTTCGGTTCGTTTTTTCATCTAATATTTCATTTTTATTTCAGATTTTTTTTAATCACCGAAAACTAGTTTTAACAATAAGCTTGAAAGCTGTAGTGTCCTGTTACACAATGAAACTGGACTCAGATCAGTGCTGATCTACTACATGTAAATGAAGAGTTTTGTTGATTGGACGAGTTTGTATTTTATGTTCAATGTCAGTGTTTCAGGAGCGTCCGGAGATCCCTCCCACCCACTCTCAGGCCGCGGCTCGGCAGATCTCTCCGGAGAGCTACTCATATACAGCTTCCATTGTCAGGCTGCTCCGCAACAAAGCCTTCATCCTCCTCGTCATCACTTATGGTGAATATCAGCACAACGGAGCCATTCAAGACCTCAAACTGGGGTTCATTATGCTTGCTGCCATTTAAACACAGTCATAGTTTGTTACTGAGAGCATTACCATGACTAGTTGTATAGTCAGTGTTGTTTGCTAATGTAAGCATCTCTATTACTGTTGCTCATACTTGGGGTTTGTGATTCGAACATGCTCCTAACACTAATTATTAAACTTCCACACATAATTTGACATAAATGATTCCTCCATTCACACATAAGTCAAGTATATTTATATAGCACTTTTCACAATGTAGATTGCATCAAAGCAGCTTCACAGTATCAAACAAAACATAATAATGTTCGTTTCTTAGTGGAAAAACATACACGTTTGGTGGAGCTGATCAATGGTATTACTGATCGGTTAATTAATTTGAATATCTCCAACTGAGCAAGGAACCGAAAAACTCCGGCAAGTGACCCAATGGTGTCCTAAAACTCCATCAGGTGACCCAATGGAGAAAAAAAAACCTTGGGAGAACCCAGACTCAGTCGGGGACCAGTTCTCCTCTGGTGTTTATGAACTAGACGCCGGATTAAAGGTAAACATGCATATGAATGTCTCTAAACAGACTATAAACGCGAACCTGTGATAAACGCTGATGGCGTTCACATTAAGAATTGATTCTAGTGTGCGTTTGAATATGACACTGAAGACTGGAGTAATGATGCTGAACATTCAGCTTTGCATCACAGGAATAAATTAAAGCTCCTGTCCGTTAAAAATGATCCAAAATACATTTTTCAGCAAGTACAACCAGCCAGTGTTCAAAACTATCTGCTTAGCTCAATTCAAAATGGTAAGCTTGTAATAATGTTTTTAATTCCAGTGGAACTGGTGGATTTCAGCAGGAGATTCGAGCATGTCTTTCCGTCATTATGTCACATCGGTACACATAAAGAAGGAGTCTCAGCTATTACTTGATGTAATTAAACTTATCAATTTGATGGCAGATCCAGAAAGGTTCAAATGTAAAATGCAAAAGTAAATGTAAAAGGCTGTAAAATGCAAAAGACTTTGGACTGAGAGTTTGGAAAAAGAGAGAGCAACCGGCCCATGGAAAAACAAGGATAAATATCTGAAGGGCTTTAAGTGTAGTCACGCAAGCTGATGTTGAACATTAACAATTTGAGACCAAAGTATAATTTGCAGGGTTTGACGTGATATGATAAACAATCGTTAAATGTTTTTTTTTTTGTGTGTGGATGTGGATGTTACTTGCTTATCATTTGATAAGCATGATAAGATGTTACTTGCTTATCATGACCATGTTGGTCATACTTCCAAAAATTACTCTCCTCAAACATTGTGTTCATCCACGCTGTGCCGTGTCGAAGTACAACTCACGTAAAGTTGATGATTCCGCGAATGACTGCGATTACCGTTTTCGAACGGAGACAAAGAGGAAAAACTGCGGACTGCAGCTTTAAAATATATAAAAATTGAAAACAGTTGTTTTCAATAGTAATAATATTCAACATTATTAGTGTTTTTTACAGATTTTTTTTATCAAATAAAGGCATCTGAGATTTTTCTAAAGCATAAAAACGGTGCTGGAACGGAATGGTATATTATATAAATATATTATATTATTTATATATTTGATTGATTGATATGCTTATGTCTAGCTCGAGTAAAAAAGTCAACTGTATTTTATTTTTATTTTTTTTTTCTGAAAAAGTAAAAAGCTAATGCTGAACAGAATGCATTGTCATCTCTGCTTTGCTTTCATGGTGAGCATATACTACATTAACGCTGCACACTGAGTTTATGATCAATCTGCACACACAAACACAAACAGCTGTGTAACACTGGCACGAGAAGCCTGTAGATGCATTTGACCTGGCTGAACATTGACAGAAATAAACCTGCAGGAATGCAGAGATCTTTATGTCTTTACAGCTGCTTCAGAAATGTGAATACATTTACTGCTTAGATACACATCAAATCAATAGTCTGAAACCAGGTGTTGTGTGTTAAGTCTTTTTTGGCAGGCTTTTTATGTTTTTGACTTTTTATCTGTCTTTCCTCAGGGCTGAATGTTGGCTGTTTCTATGCTGTCAGTACGCTTCTCAACCGAATGATCATTGAACACTATCCTGTAAGTCCCTCCACCTGTCCAACCAATCATAAGCGCCCATTTGCATAACTGAATTGATTCCTGTGAATTTTAACTTAGTAGTAGTAGTAGTAGTAGTAAAATCTTTATTTGTCCCTTTACAGGGCAATTTAAGTAGCTTCAACCTCACAAAAACAGCAAAACATCAAAGACATTACACACAGCAGAAAAAAAAAACAAAAAAAAAAACACAAAACCCCGGGCATTTATAAATCTTCATCTAGCTACTGTTAAAATTAAAATTCATTCACGGTGCCTTTTCTTTGTTTCAAATAAGTATTTACAGTCATCACTGCGTTTGAAACAAAAGACCTAGAGGCTTTAGTGGTCCTCCACTTGGGCACTCTATATCGCTTTCCTGAGGGAAGCAACTCAAATTCTAAAAACAAAATGTGGGATGTATCCTCTAGGACAGTGGTTCTCAAAGTGGGGTCCGCTGACCCCTGGTGGTCCGCGAGCTAAAGCCAGGGGGTCCGCGAAATAATTTACAACCTAACGTTTTTTTCCATGCTATGAGTCATGTTTTCTTTATCATCTGAAAACATGCTGTTTATTCCTAAGTAACTTATATAAAGCATTTAACATAAAACAATACAAAGTAGACACTTAAAGTTTTCTATAGATAGATAATCTATGTCTTTGCGTCAAGTAGACTATTCGCTGCTGTTGATTTTGCGGGACGTGCGCCAGAAAGGAGACAGAGAGACGGCATGAACCCGCATCCGGTTGTTTTCTGTATTTTTAAAAGGCATGACATTTTGTAGTCATTTATAATGTAGCCTACACACAAATAAAAAAATGGACACTTTACCGTTTCGGATGATGCACTCTTGTCTTATCTATGACCATAAATAAGAGTATTCCTGTTTCCACTGCTGAGGAAAAATTCCCATGTAATTGCGCGCCGGCGTCTCGCGTGCGCGCACAATAGTCAGTTCTAGCACTGCTACTGTAGATTTGACATTAGAAGTCTGATCATTATCAAAATAAAAGTGCATAGTGACAGGGCCGTACCCACAACTGAGGTTGCAAGGATGCACATCGCGATGATACTGACCTTCTCTCTGAGGTGCTTCAGCAGACTAACAACGATAGCTCGTCAATGTCAAAATGTTTGAGTCGGAGTGAACTCAAAGTTCCCCGCACGACGTTTCAGTCAACGGTCATAAAGTGCGAGATAAGATGTAGGCCTTAATTAACAAACAGCTGTTTTAGATAAAAGTTTTAAAAAACGACTGAAACAATCAGTTTGCAAAGTATTAATCAAGCTCAACTTTAACAAAGGAAAAAGCAGGTCAATAGAAACATACTGTGCCCATGAGATTAACATTATGGATTCATATATTTAACATATACTGTATGTTTTTTAGCTAATTACAGTAGCTCAAATTAACAACGCACGCACCTATTAAACATAATGCCATTATCATTGTATTTATAGGCTTATGGGCTTTATTTGTGTGCAGAATAGGCCTAATTATTGAAACATTTCTCTTTTAAGGCCATTCCTGATTGGAATATGTGATTGTGTTTTGTGACATCTTGACAAAAAAAAAAATGTATGCCACTGACTGACATGCTTCTACTAAATCTAGTTATCCAATTGTGGGGCCTTAAAACACCTTAAAATGCACATGTGTAGATCAAGAACATCAAAAATTCCTAAGTGAGGGATCCTAAGTGATTCCTAGCAAGATCACTTTCGTTACCTCAGTAGGCTATTTAGAAATTCCTGCATAGTACCCTGGGTGGAGACCATTCATTTTGTGCAAAAATATTTCATTTGCCGCTCACACATTAACTTTGTGCTCAATAACTGTTATAAATATGAGGGGGGTCCTTGGAATTTTTTTTCCCCTGAAAGGGGTCCCTGGCACCAAAATGTTTGAGAACCCCTGCTCTAGGATAGATTCCCCCGTTTTGAATTTGTCAGTTTGTGATTCGATAATTGAACAAGTGGCGGAGGCCAAATTGCTCGGTGTGATTGTGGACAGCAGGTTGACCTGGAGCGCTCATATAAAATTAATATTGAATAAAATGGGCAGGAGTATGGCCGCAGTTCGTCATTGTAGAAAATGTATACGGAAAACTTTAGTGGAATCAATAGTTTTGTGTCATCTGGACTATTGTTCCATTATTTGGGCTTCAACTACAGAGAATAATTTAAACAGATTACAGATTGCACAAAATAAAGCATGTCGGCTTTTTCTAAATTGTTCTTTTGGAACAAGTGTCAGGGATATGCATAATCAGAAGCAGAATTAATTATTCTCTTATTAAATTCTTAAAAATATAATTATTTCTAAAGCACCTGAAACTATTTATAGTAGATTGACCTTCTTCAGTGACGTTCATATTTTTTTTTATTCCACTCGTCAATCAAGTAAAGGGCGTTTCTTGTTACCTGTCTGTCGAACTAATCAACTTCAAAGAACATTGTGTTCCAGAGCAGAGGTGGCATTATTTTTGGTCTCAGAGAGTTACAATGTTAGTTTTTCCAAAAGATTGAGACTGTATTTATTTACTTTGGAGTAATTGTAATTTTTATAATTAATAATGACTGGACAATGAGCTATAATAATTGAAATGTGATTTTCATATTTTGTGTTGTACCCAGAGAGTGGTAATGTTGTGTTGTTCAAGTGTTATGTTGTTATGTTTAGTGTGTGTGTGTGTGAGTTTGATGATTTATGATGTTGTGTGCACTTCTGTATTGTTGTACAGCTTTGATGCTAAGTTTTTGTTGAAAAATGTTGTGACCCCAGGAAGAATAGCTGCTGCTTAATGTAGCAGCTAATGGGGATCAAAATAATAATAATAAACATAAACTGATCTTAGTCTGACATATTGTGGTAGAACAGAGAATGTTTGAAAAAATTTGTTCTGGTTTTAACAGGGAGAGGAGGTGAACGCCGGCAGGATCGGCCTCACAATCGTGATCGCTGGCATGGTGGGATCCCTCATCTGTGGAGTCTGGTTAGACCGATCTAAAACATACAAGTAAGAGTGTGGACTTTAATCCTAACAAATCTTCAATTGTCCTTCAGGCAGTGCTTGATAAACATTTGTCTTCATTCCTCCTTGAGGATAAGTGTGTTACTGAGTCCTTTCCCCCCTGTGAGTCTGTTCATATGCTTTGGTTTAGTGTGTTTTTCCAGGTGTTTGCCTCTTTGATCCATGAACCTAGACCTTGTGAGCTTTTGTGATCTCATGCAGCATGTCTTCCCCTCCTGGGCATTGTTATGTTTCTTTTATTTAACTTTGTTTAAACTTACCACCACACTCACACTACTGAAATGAAATATCAGATTAAATGTCAATGGGATAAATTTAAAACAGTTTAGCTTTTTTCAAATGCCTTTTATATACACTGAGAAATTACCCCCCAAAAAATAATTTATAGGTGCTTTGTGTAATATTTAGGAGATCTGTTGACAGAAGCCCCTATGTTTTTATTACCTTGTCATCAGGGCCTGAAGTAAATTTTTTAGGCCACCGGCAGGTGGATTTAAAAATTCACCTGCCACAGAGACTTTTTACCAGCCTTTTTTTTTTTTTTTTTTGGCCTCATAAAAAACCGGACATTTTCTCACCGGTTCCCAACTCCCAACATGCACAGTTGCACACGCACACACATCTGTGCAACTGTCATTGTACTTTAACCTGCAACAGCGACGTGTTACATTATCTCATTCCATCTCATCAACAGTTTAATACTCGCGGACTTCCTTGAAATGTAAAAATCCTAATGAATGACTCACAATTCTCATTGGCTACCTGCCAAAGTGGCAGGTAGATTGACAATGTTACCCGCCAATAGCAAAATTCACCCGCATTTGGCAGGTGGTCGGGTGTTAATTTCAGGCCCTGCTTGTCATTATGTGACAATGTACGTATTTTGTCACACAGATTGTTACACGATTGTCCCACAGTTGTGGCATCTTTACCACCAAAAACCAACTACTTAAACCAACCAACCAACTCACTTTTGTTTAAAACGTGCTAATAGTTGAAGAAATGCCCAGATATTTAGCAAATGCTATTGTACTAAAGCAACTGAAATGGTATTTCTGGATCTACATATATTTTGAGCTGCTATTAATAATATGATTTGTTCAGTCACACTAGAACATGATGGATCCTGATGAAAGATTTGTCCCATGTCTCTGTTATGTGATGTCCCCACAGACAAACCACTCTAGCTGTGTATCTGATGTCCCTGGTGGGTATGATGATTTATGCTTTTACCTTGGATTTGGGTCACCTGTGGGTGGTCTTCATCACAGCGGGAACCCTCGGGTAGGAGAAGATTTTTACTATTGTGCATGGCAAAATAAAATGTGAAAAGTGCAAAAGTTTTGCCCAAAATCTTTTTGTTTGTGTGTTACTGACTCAGGTTCTTCATGACGGGTTATCTTCCCCTTGGTTTTGAGTTTGCAGTCGAATTGACTTACCCAGAGTCTGAGGGGACGTCTTCAGGGCTTCTGAACTGCTCTGCACAGGTATGGTGATATTTATTAAAACAATTCAAGAAAATCTCAATTAAAGGGATAGATCCCCCAAAAATGTAAATTCTGTCAGCTTTTACTCAACCTCACCATTTTTTTGGGTTTGGAACGAAACAACGCGAGTGCTTTCTTTGCACAAAATAAACATTTGACACTTTATTTGCAAAGTATTAATGTCCCGAGCCACGTTCACGTAACAACGTTCGCTCTCGTGTCAACACAACACGCATGCGTGCACATGAACGTGGGTTGGAGATTAATATTTTGTAAATCAAGTTGGGTTTGGTTTTTTTTGTTTGTTTTTTTGTGGTTTTTTTGCAAAACAATGCACTTAAGTGCTTCATAAAATGAGGTTAAACCACTGGAGTCACATGAATTACTTTAATAATGTCTTTACTACCTTTCTGGCTCTTGAAAGTGTCGGTTGTGTTGCTGTCAATGGATGGATTCAAAAAGATCTTCATTTGTGTTCTGAAGATGAACCGAAGTATTACGTGTTTGAAATGACATGAGGGCAAGTAATTAATGACAGAATTAAAAAAAAACTTATGAACTATCCATTTGTAGGTGAATGATGGGACATATTGTCTCTCATTTCTCATTTATAAGAGGCTCCATTTGTCTTATTTTTGGAATTTTATGTTATTATCATGGAGTTACCAACAATCCTAATGAACATTGTGTTTTTTTACTGCAGGTATTTGGGATCATATTTACGATCTGTCAGGGGAAAATGATGGACTCGTTCAATACGCTGGCTGGAAATCTCTTTCTATGTGGGTTCCTGCTGATAGGAACCTTCATTACAGGTGCAGATCGCTCAATGCTCGTCTACCAGACTAGTTGTTCCTCTTTAATCCAGTACAGAGTTCACACTTTTTTAATCTGGTCCTATGAACTGTTGTTGCTTTCAAACATTTTGATTCCTGGTGATGATAATGCTTCTTGGAAAGCATTGTATTAACATTCGTGCTGCATGAGTGACATTATGAAAGTTGCTTTGACCTCTCTTTTTTCAGTTAATATATGAGCTATTAAAGGGCATATTGCAGGTTAGAGCAGTGGTTCTCAAAGTGGGGTCCGCTGACCCCTGGTGGTCGGTGAGCTAAAGCCAGTGGGTCCGCGAAATAATTTATCACAACCTAACGTTTTTTCCGTGCCATGAGTCATGTTTTCTTTATCATCTGAAAACATGCTATTTATTCCCAAGTAACTTAAATAATGCATTTAACATCAAACAATACAAAGTAGACACTTAAAGTTTTCTATAGGTAGATAATCTATCTGTATTTCTTATGTCTGTGCATCAAGTAGATAATTCGTTGTGGTTGATTTTGCGGGACGTGCGTCAGAAAGGAGACAGAGAGATGGCATGAACCCGCATCCGGTTTTCTGTATTTTTAAAAGGCATGACATTTTGTAGTCATTTATAATGTAGCCTATACACAAATAAAAAATGGACACTTTACCGTTTCGGATGATGTACTCTTGTCTTATCTGTATGACCATAAATAAGAGTATATTCCTGTTTCCACTGCTGAGGAAAAAATTCCCACGTAATCGCACGCCGGCGTCTCGCGTGCGTGCGCAATATGTCATTGTCAGTTCTAGCACTGCTAGATTTGACATTAAGTCTGATCATTTTCAAAATAAAAGTGCATAGTGACAGGGCCGTACCCACAATTGAGGTTGCAAGGATGTACATCGCGATGATAAAAGTGATGATGACACTTTATCTACTAAATTAGGGCCCTTATGTCGTTTAAAACATTTTAAATCCTGCATTAACATTTCATATGGTATTTTCATACAAGGTTATCTATAAATGTAGATTTTTTTTTACCTGCAATATGCTCTTTAAACGCATAAAAAACACTGGATTGTGTAAATCTAGAATAAGTGACGTTGTTTTGGGACAGGTACAGCCAAAATCCTTCAGAGTAAACACAGAACCGGATATCAATCCTTTCAGTGACTCGCCCTTCCTATATCGCCCTGCCTATCTATAGATTTAATTTAATGTCGACTTTAGTCAGATGAACTGTGTTCTCAAGACAAGGCTGGCAAATTGTCACGTTTTAAATGTTATAAAATTATATAATACAATCTAATATAGTAATTACAATAATAATGTTTGCTGCAGTTATCCAGATTGTTGTTATGGATCATTTAAGGTCTTCCTAGTTAATATTCAACACATTTTCCAGGCAATTAGAGTTCGTGTGGAGAAACTACTGTATATAGTCCTTCATATAACACTGATGCATAGAGGTACAAAGTTTTTACTTTCTCTTTTAGATCTCAAGTCCAACCAGAATGATCTTCCACGTAAACTTAGCCAAACCCAATGATGGATCATCATGGATGTCACCCATGCAAATTAAACCTAATAATAAGCCATATATTTATATGTCTAATTAAAATTACATCTATTTTAGGGCCATTCTGTGTTTATTGCATTTGTAATTAGAAAATACTTAATTATTTTGCAATGGATAAAAAAATCTTATTTCTGTTGATTTTTGGAATTAAACATGAACTGGACATGTTCTTTAAGGGATATAGCCGTTTATATTCACAATCCAAATGCCGATTGGATAAACTAAAGCTCACAGGCTGCATCAGTCATGTCAATAGATAGATGGGAATATTAAAGCCATCATAATGTCTGTGTGTGTCGTGTTTCTGTTCTTTATCTCAGCCTTTATTAAGTCAGATCTGCGCAGACAGTTGGCGAACCAGCAAGCAGTGGCAGCTGTAAGTATCAAACCAAACCTGCAAAACAGTTACACAATTAGATTATATATGTGACAGAAAGCACATTACGGTTTACATGACGTCCTCATCCAAGAATAAGTTCAAGTTTTTTGTTTTCTGCAAATGTGTCTCTTGTTTGGCTGATTGATGCAGTGGAAAACTTTTTACAGCCACTAACATGTACCCTGGATGTCCCTAAGATGCACCAATAGGAAAATATTGTCCAATACCGATAACTCTTTATATTTTAAAGCCGAGAACCGATATATTGGCCAATAACTGATAATTCTTTATATTTGACAGCCGATAAGTCTTTATATGAAAGCCGATAACCGATATATTGGCCGACAACAGATAATTCTTTATATTTGAAAGCCAATAACTGATATATTTTGGCCAATAACCGATAATTCTTTCATTTTGAAAGCTGATTACCGATATATTGGCCGATAACCGATAACTCTTTATATTTGGAAAGCCGATAACCGATATATTGGCCGATAGCCGATAATTCTTTATATTTGACAGCCGATAATTCTTTATTTGAAAGCCGATAACCGATATATTGGCCGACAACAGATAATTCTTTATATTTGAAAGCCAATAACTGATATATTTTGGCCGATAACCGATAATTCTTTAATTTTGAAAGCTGATTACCAATATATTGGCAGATAACCGATAACTCTTTATATTTGAAAGCCGATAACCGATATATTGGCCGATAACCGATAACTCTTTATATTTGAAAGCCGATAACCGATATATTGGCCGATAACCGATAATTCTTTATATTTGACAGCCGATAATTCTTTATTTGAAAGCCGATAACCGATATATTGGCCGAAAACAGATAATTCTTTATATTTGAAAGCCAATAACCAATATATTGGCCGATAACCGATAACTCTTTATATTTGAAAGCCGATAACCGATATATTGGCCGATAACCGATAATTCTTTATATTTGACAGCCGATAATTCTTTTTTGAAAGCCGATAACCGATATATTGGCCGACAACAGATAATTCTTTATATTTTAAAGCCAATAACTGATATATTTTGGCCGATAACCGATAATTCTTTAATTTTGAAAGCTGATTACCGATATATTGGCCGATAACCGATAACTCTTTATATTTGAAAGCTGATAACCGATATATTGGCCGATAACCGATAACTCTTTATATTTGAAAGCCGATAATCGATATATTGGCCGATAACCGATAATTCTTTATATTTGACAGCCGATAATTCTTTATTTGAAAGCCGATAACCGATATATTGGCCGACAACAGATAATTCTTTATATTTGAAAGCCAATAACCAATATATTGGCCGATAACCGATAACTCTTTATATTTGAAAGCCGATAACCGATATATTGGCCGATAACCGATAATTCTTTATATTTGACAGCCGATAATTCTTTTTTGAAAGCCGATAACCGATATATTGGCCGACAACAGATAATTCTTTATATTTGAAAGCCAATAACCAATATATTGGCCGATAACCGATAATTCTTTATATCTGAGAGCTGATAACCGATATATTGGCTGATAAATCATCTAAATCCAAATTTTTACATAATTTTTGAGTGCCTGATTACAAAAACAAAGTCTCACCATGTCCCAATCACACAATTATAATGATGTTCTCATTATAATTGTATGCCGCCTAAATGACAGTGCGGCACATAACTGTATTTTCCTTTTTTAAAGTGATTCCAATCATATTTAAAGCAATTCAAAACCATCATAGCTGAAATAATCCGTTATTTATCGCTTTAATATAGTCAAATAGTTCTTATTGGGCCGATAACTTTAACATTCAAAATGAACATATATCTGCCGATACCGATATGGCGGCCGATATATCGTGCATCAATAGCAGATACTAGAGAAATGACTCCTGTTGTTTCTTCCTCGTGTTTCTGTGGTGTTATTTTAACTTTAACTCCAGTCTTTTCAATTAGACTGTTAAATGTATTTATTAGTTGCTCGTTTTGGTTTGTTAGCTTTTGTTTCAAAGGTTCACAGTAGGAGTGAGAACGAGTTCCTGCAAATGTCTTCAAGGGTCTTCGGCCCAGCAGTTTCTTTGAACTTTTTATTGTGTTGACATTCCAGCGCTGTGATTGGATGATACGTGGGAAATACAAGCCTATCAACACACTTCATACTGTTCTTCACTATCACTCCTGCTCATCTTTACACGCTAGATCATGTTCCCCTGTTCCACACATCCCATTCACACTACAATTTCCCTGTAATGTATGTTTAATGATATTACCACTTATGCCAGATTTTCCACTTATGCCATTCTCTTTTCCGCTCACCCTGAACAGGATTTTTTTTAACTCAGCCTGTATCTCTGCCTGTTTTGTTCCCCAATTTCTACTCACCCCGTTCTCTTCAAATCTGTTCATAGATCAGTTTGTGTGTGTGTGTGTGTGTACAGGCAGCGTTGGGCAGGTCATACGTTCAGGATCACTGTGGGACGTCACTCCTTCCATCCACACACATGTGACCAATCAATCACTGCCTGATTTTTTTGCACACTGTGGTTCAGGTATGGGCAGCACATGTGATTAGCCCATCTGATTCACACTTGATGGCTTCATCAGTGCTTTTGATTCTGTCTAATGTTAATGATTTTTGCCTGCTCTGTCTAAACGCTTCACCCTTGAGCTTTGTGTCTGTGTGTGTGCTTGTTTATATGATTCATGAGAACACAAATTTCGTATGCCATGGGTATTACACTGGTGTTATGAGGAGATTTCCTGAGTTCTCGTTACTAAAATCTGTTAAAACGCATACTAAACAATGTTGCGTGTGTGTGTGTTTAACCATAGATTGGTTGTTTGGTCTGTACTAACATTTAACCCTTATTTAATCCACTGACACACTAACTGTCCTCGTGTGAAACTGGTTTAATGCCGCCAGGGGGCGCCGTTTCACTAAATATCTATTATTAATGATGTGTTTTGTGTTTTTAGAGCCATTTGGAAACATCTCCAGCACAAGCTTTTGAAGCCAAACTCTAATGTGACATCATAACATGGACCTTTTCTTTTTCTGTGACACTGTTTATATTTTATAGTTTGTAACCAGCCTTGAATTTTGATTTATTTTGCCTGAGACAAAATGATTTTGTGACATTTGAATCGGGATGTATTTGCATTGTCAAATGTCTGCATTTTAACAGCCAAGGACTGACTAAGTGTTTGTTTGTTCATATGGTGTGATCATGTTTAATCGATCACTAATCATCTCAATAAGACATATTCTAATTTTACATCAGTTTATCAATTTTTGTTTTCAATTTAAATTATTAATGTTACCATTTTTTTCTTGCAAAAAACATTTTTATGGAAACTCATTGGATAATGAAATTCTTCAGTGAAACCTATTGGAGCGAGAAATGTTTCAGTATTATGTGAACTAGGAACCAAATCTGTTTCTGAACAGCTAAATATGCAATGTTGGCTTCCATCTATCTATGCAGTAATGTGTACTGAAAAATGTTTCAATATTTTTATACAAGTGTTTTGTATTTTGACCCTATATTTAAAGTTATGTGAAGTCCATCTGAACAAATCACAATGAATAAAACAACACTAGCATCTAAAGCACTTTTTTGTTTTATTTTTAAAATGCTAAAAATTAAAACATTTGTAGTATAAGGTTTAGATATAAAAAAAATCACACATAGAGCTCTCGTATGAGTATCCATAAATACTTTAATGCAGTAAACAGTGCAGAAAAGGTGTCGGCATTTATGACAGCATTTATGATATATGTAAAAAAAGACATCTTATTTCACAATTTTATAACAGCATTTTATATATTTATCAAACTGTATCATAATTTTACGTAGCAAAATTAAAAAAGAACCAGCAGTAACGTCCCGTACACATTCCAAACAAAGTAAAAACAGCTTAACATATTTTACTCGTGTAACGACAAGTGCATTCGAAAGGGCATTTCAGAAAAATGAGACAGCAGCAGCAGCCTGCTCTCTTTGATAGTCTGTTTGAGCTCCCTGTGGTTTTTGTGGAGGTATTTATCTACTCATCCAACTGCAATACGTGTTCACATGTTTGTATGGGTGCTCGTGACTGAAGCCCAGTGTGTGTGTTGGTAACATCAAGTCCTCAATTGGCCTGCTGTTCTTAAGGCACCTTCAGCTGTTTGATTGTCTGCAAGTGTCATCGTTACCAATACACAAGCATTCGAGGCACACCTATCAGAAGAACATCAGAACAACGATATACGTCACAGCACTGGAACATCACCTCCGTGGAATGTGGTGAGGAAATAAAATGTTCTGAAATCGGAATAATTGCAAAGGAATCGTTGATTTGTGGACTCTGACAGTGTATTGACACCGTCTTTCATGGTCTCAAACAATATACTGACGACATTACGTTATAAAATCTATCGATAATGCACAAGCAAACCATGGTAAATTGTAAACCGCAAAATACAGGCACCTCAGTTGATTGTACCACAAAAGAAAGCATTTATGAAACCAGCAATGGAACGATATCTATTCTTATAACTTAAATTATTTATCTTATATTTATATTTTTACTTTACAATATGGGTTTACAAATATAAAATACATTTCCCCGCTTTATCGCAGACCATATATACAGACTTTTAATTATTCATATCAGCGCCAGATCATGAGCCAGTCACGTGATGCGATCTGGCCGTCTCACTGGACATTTCAGTAGAAATCTAACTTCGTGTGTTGGACTTCAAGCGGAGTCAAACCGAATGGAGTATGACATCAGAGCGAATTTCAAATAGCTTTCGAATCTCTCTCGCGGTAACTTGATGTCACACGCCGATCGGTTAGCAGCGCCGCTTTAAATCGAACACACCTTACATCTGAGTTCATTATTGTCCTTATCCTTAAAGGGACAGTTCACGTAAAAATGCCGTCGTATAGAATTTTACGCGGATGAAACGAGTTTTGCCATGCGCTTTTTAAAAGTCCTATATCACATGTAATTGTCAAAACTCACAATTGAAAAAAAAAATCGCAGTTACTTCAATCCCTCACGGAATTTATTCGCGCCAAAATCAAAATGGCGCTGCCCTGGCGAGAATCGATAACATTTTAGCGACGAAGAAAGAAAACGAGTAATTACACAGGAATGTTCGGAATGACATGAGGCTGGGTAAGTGATGACGTCATATTATTTTTAGGGTGAACTATCCCTCTAATTAAAGCATATCTATTGGACACTTTCCCTCTTAAGACATTAACACTAATAAAAACCTCTTTATAATAACTATTGATTGATATACATAGTAACACAACTCTTCCTAGTGCTTTGATAAATTCGCATAATGTAACCTGTATATTTGTTAGATATTATTGATTGCATTTATCGCTTAATTTGAACTGTAAATGATGATTTGGTGTATTGCTCTTTGAGCACATTTTGATACTCACCAATTTCTATAGAGATGCTTTAAACACTTATATTATATAAAGTAACACTTCAGTGCCTGAAAGAAATCATGTCATTACGCGATGTCTGTGATACAGGACAGCAGAATTAATTCATTAAGGCAAACTAATATTTCAGAAAAGGTAAAATTGGAAAATTGGTTTTGTTGTACATTCTCTCTAATGAGAAAACATAATCCTCTTCAGCATTTTAAAATCACAAAAATCATATCTTGTTCTCAGAAATGGCTCATTATTAATATACAGGTAGTACAACCTGATGTTCAAGTTGTTTTTCTGCATTTAGACAAAACTTTGTCAGTTCTTTCTGAAGCACGTTACTGGCCTCTGGATTACATATCGTCACATCTGTTCTGTCCTTCAACTCTGTCCCAATAACACTGATAACAGAAGTGAATCAAGCACTATCCGTGATACACCAGCAGGGAAAGATCAAGATTCGGTTCTAGGATGCGTCAGAGTTCAGAAGTTGTATTTAAGTCAGCACAAATAAGTGTGGACCTTGAGTATTCTCACAGCTCGTCGCCTACTAAAGCAGTTCTTCCTTCTTCTGAGGGTTTTATTAAGGCATCCACTGCGCTGAAATACGCTCATATCATATGTGAACGTATGTTTGGAAAACATAAGGCAGAATATGAATGTCTTTATATTGATATGCAATTTGCAGAAAATGTACTCCAATGCTCCATTTTTAAAATGGCTTCTTCGGGAAAAGGATGGAAGTCTCTGACCAGCGGCAACCTTCTTTCCATAACAGTTTTTGAGCCACGTAAATCCATATCTGCGGTCTTACAGTGCTGTGTAAAACTTTTGTGTCCTGACCAGGTCGGCTGTGGACTCTCATCTCCGGGCTCTTGCGTTTTGGGCTCCTTCTTGAGGAAAAAGGAAGTTGTAGATCGATGTCACTAGCTGGAACAAACCCAACTGGCCCCTGTGAGTAAACTGCACAAAAATAAAACAAAAATGATTATTCATCATGTGAAATATCTGTTGTAGGTGAAATATATTGCATTTAATAAGACCGAAGAGGAGTTATTATGAAACTATCCATTTTATAACTGACATGATTCACAAGCCATTTTTCTTCAATAATTTGATATATTTCCAAGTGAAGGCTGCATTGCTTGCATCAGTTGCCTAACACAATGACTTAATTTAAAGTTGTTTGAAATAAAAAAAATGCACAATAATACCTCAGGATAGTTCACCCCAAAATGTTGTCATCATTTACTCACCCTCAAGTTGTTGCAAACCTGTTTTAGTTTCTCTCCTCTGTTGAACACAAAATAACTGAACATTCTTCAAAATATCTTCTTCTGTGTTCAAGAGATGAAAGATACTCATACAGGTTGTAAACAACATTTTTGGGTGAACTATTCCTTTAAGAAAGTGAATAGGGTCAATGTTGATTATGTTTGTTTTTAAATTGCAGGTCTCTGCCATGAGATGGCGTTGTGGCCTCAAGCTTCACTTCAAACTCCTCCCCTTCCCTCTAAATGCCCCTGATGGACAGTTAAAGCAGCCAATCAGCAGTCAGGCCATCTGTGTTGTAAGTGGTGTTGTAGTTCAGCCTTGACTATTGCAGTGTGTTGCATAAGCAACTACTCTTACTGAAGGCACGCTAGATGTAAAAGAGTTAGTTATTAATTATAATAACTTATTTAAATTATTCTGAGCCAATTATTTTGAATTATATTGTTATCTTTTAAGTTTTTAAGTTATGTAACCGACCTTCTGTGAGAACATGAAGTTTCAGGTTTTTGATAGTATCTGAGCACATTTCCAGCGTATCTGCATGTTCATTACGATATCTCAGTTGTTGCGACTCAGCATTTAACACACACACAGAGTTACTAAAGAAGATGTTACATTTGAGAATGTGGTCACATGTCTGCTGACGTGGCGTTTTAGTCTGTCTAAATTTAGCCTGCAGTATAAACACACTTCACATCCTCTTTCTGAGCTCACACACGAACTATAGCCAGACTGGGTAATGCTGAACTTCCAACTTTCAAACCCTTGATAAATCTAATATCATGTAGAGGGTGTGAGTTAACATGTCTCTCTTGAAAATGTAAAAATGTCAGATAAATGTTAACATAGATAAGTCTCACACATGGAAAATGTTTACCTCTTAAAAAAAAAAGGAACACCATAAATGTACTTTTTAAAATACATCTACAACAAAACCATTGTAAAAAATCTTCCGATAGGCATATTTACATGATAAAATGTGGCACTTATCAAAATGATATAATAAAAAGTTAAGTAACACAACTTTTTTCCATGTATCTCCCATATTGTATTTATTTACCCAGATAAACTCTTTAAACTAATCAGATTTTACCACAAACCTCAATTAAAACCAAATAATGCTGTATAAATATTATCTAGTAATTAAACTCCTCCATCATAACTGAAAGATTATGTGCACTATATATATTTGAGTGTGTGTACGTTTGTATTCATCATTTTATGTAAAATTGATAAGATCTAAGAGAACTTAAGTAAACAGGATGAGCTAACCAATGATGATGTCATTGCTCCCTCTGAGCATTTGCATGAGCGGCATTGAAATAACAGACGATGGTGTCATTGCACGTTGTGACTGAAACCACAGCAATGAAACCACCGACTCTGTCACACACCTGTGCAACTCTTTTACCCATTTGATTCACATCGGCCGTGAGGAAAGGAAACTTAACCAGTATGATCTGAAATCACTCTTACCAGCTGAAGATGTTCCTGCTGAAACTGATCCCCCATTTCACGCAATTTACGCCCAATCTGAATCTCCACGCTAATTCCCATGTCACGCCCGTCTTCTTTTTCTTCTGGTCTCGCTTCGTCCGCCTCCCTTTCTTCGACGTTTTGTACGCCATCCAGGACAGGTTCGAACAGCGCGGGGAAATGTGCACGAAATCCAGCATTTCCTTCAAGATAAAAGACATATTTCTATTATTATTGTATAGTGATATAATAAATATTTTTATGAATATATATTTAAGAATGAAAATGTATATCTTTAATACAGTTTAGTACTTTGGTCTAATTTTTTAACTTTTAAAGTCAGTAAATAAAAATGCACAGGGCAAAAATGCCACTGAAAATGCCATTAGGTATAGTTTTTTATTTATTATTTAATTTTTCTGTATTATCTATTTATAAAGTTATCTAATTTACCAGTTTTTCTAAATAATTTATGTGTATTATATTAAATATACATATATTAGGGATGCACGATATATCGGTATCGGCCAACATAGGTTTTTTTAATGTTATCATTATCGGCCTGAAAATAATTTGTGGCCGATATCTTAAAGCAGATAAATAATGTATTATTTCCTTTAGTTGAGACACTTCAGATGCACACTGTTCACCATGGTGCTTTTCAATTGCTTGAAATATGATTGAAAAAGGAAAATCCAGTTAAAGTGCAAAATGTGCATATGTCTGTCATATCGGCTACGCAACATTAAAATAAGAACATCATAATTGTGTTTGTATCTTGACTTTTAAGATGGAGACTTTTTTTTATAATCTGGCTCTCAAAAATTGTCAAAAAATTTGGATTTAGATTTATCGGCCAATATATCGGTTATCGGTTTTCAAATATAAAGAATTATCGGTTATCGGTATCGGCCAAAATTGTCATATCGGTGCATCCCTAGTGCTTGGGACATAACTTTAATGGTGAGACTTTAGTTTTTGTAAACTGGCACTCAAAAATTATTTGGATTTAGATTTATGGACCAATATATCGGTTATCGGCTTTCAGATATAAAGAATTATCGGTTATCGGTATCGGACAAAATGTTCATATCTGTCCCTGATAAATATATACATATAAAGACACTATATAATGTGAATGAGGTCGTAATACAATCTCATAATCATATGATATACGTAATCCTATAATGATGTGATGCATATTATGTATCCCTACCATGAAAAAGTGCTCTTGGCCCTGGAGCCCCAGGGGCCATAGTAAGTGACGCAAGGCCCCTGGATTCACAGTGAGCCCTGAATGCAGTCCTGGCATCCACAGCTCCACAGGGAGATGATGTATCTCTCCCTGAACCCTGGAACGGAGCCATATCTCCGACTCTCACTGAATTCAGGACAGAGCTCGCTGTCTGCGTGGATCTGTCTTCAAAGCGTCTGTGTCTGCTAACTGCTCGACGGTGGGCGTCTCCGTTCTCTGAGCTCTTGATTCTTAGTGGTGTTTCACAGCAGCGAGGAAGCTGTTCCTCCTCCTCATCATCCATCGGCGGAGTCAGCAAAACTGCCCTGAAATATAACACAGACCGTCACTCAGTGCCATATTGGAATTAACTGTTCATTTTTTTTTTCCTATATATATATTACACAGGTCCTCAAAAATGTTTGTTTCTGTTTTTCTTTCTAGTCCAGTGGTTTTGCTTCAGGACCCATATTTTACATTGGATATTAAGTGGCGACCAAACACAATGGCAAAATTGTTCAAAAGTAAGCAAAATAAAACATTTAAATATATTGGTTATGGTTTACTACTAAGTGATGGATGAATTTGTACCAATATTTGCTTGGACGCACAGTTTTGGACATAAACAACATAATACATGGCGATTTATCTTCCCTTTTAAAAGTTGATAAGCTAATTAATTTTCTAACCCAAACCATGTACAGTTATCATATTATCTAAACCTTTTATAATTTGCATTTCGCATTGTTTTTCCTCACTCTCCTCTCCAGTGCATTTAAGGAACACTTGGCCTTATGCAAACATTTATTAAGTTATTAAGTGCATTTTATTTGGGTTAACTATGAATCATTAAGATCAGACAGTTGGTAAGTGCAACTTCTGGCATCAAAGAGCAGTGAGTGAGATGACTCAGATATTGTCACAAACCAAACCGCCAAAACGTCAAATGGCAACATTTCAATGGAGCCTCATACAAATGAGAGGAAGTTTGAGGCTTGTGCTCAAAACAGTCATCCCAGAAAACAATATTTTTCAAATCTGTATCATCATAACAAATCAGTTTATGACTTCATGAGTAATCTGATCAACAGTGAAATTGGTCAAATTGACAAAGCACAAAGAGTTGCATGAAGAGATTTCAGAAATGCATAGATGTGTAATTTGTTTTTCTGAAATGAAAAAATGAATAAATAAATAAATAAAAACTGATATCTTATATTTTGTGTTGGGGGGGGGGGTCTCAGACTTGCTTGGCCAGGCTTAAAGACAATTGAAGACCATCATCAATCCCTCCAATTATTCAATTATTTAGAAAACCATTTTAGGCTGGGTTAAGGTGTTGTTTTCAGCAGGGAACATACAAACCAACATATAACACATACCATGAGGTAATGCCAAAATAGAATGCATCGCGTCACCATGTAACTTAATGTGAACGTCACTCAGATTTTTTTAAAGTCTAGATCTGACCATCTGAATCAGAACATCATATTGGGAATATTTCATTGAATTAGATCATGATCTTTGTTCTGTAATTCAACACTTTCTTTCACAGATCAAAACACTGGAACTTTGTTTTTTACTGACAAAAACAGTCACTTTAGTTGTTCTTTCAATAGAGCAAACCACCAATATCCAAAAGTACAGAATGAAACTGGAGCAAATGAGACAATAACACGAGACACTCACCGCCAGCGCTTGAATGTATCTGTCAGTGCTGTTTTTATTCCGCTTTTTGTGTCAGAGCTCTTTTATTCCGTCTTCACAGCAAATACTGCTTGTATTTACTAACACAGACAGTTTTCATTCTGCGCCCTCCGCTCGAGTTGTTTGTATTGGACACGAGCGCGGCGAAAGTCCCGCCCATCTCCGTTGACGTAACATGATATGATAATTAGCCCAAAGAGGCGGTTGGTGTTGTTGGTGCCTCAGGGAAAAGGTCAGTTTAGGGTTTGTGTGTTGACTTTGTCAGTCTCTTTTAATGTACTAATAATGAAGCAATTTTATCACATTAAACCGTTCAAAGTTTGGAGATTAGTTGTCGCGTTAAAAAATGTGTTTTTTCTCAAGCAAACAAACAAAAGTGCTTTAAACTAACGTTAATCAAAATTTGAGAAAAGCGTGCTTCAATTTGACAGCCTAGTGACGAAACGTTTTCCAACTGGAAATAGCAAGTAGCCTAACAGTTAGGATATTTCTTTATTACTGCAGATTTGTAACACATATCATATTTTTGGAGGATTTTTTGATGCTTGAAAAGTTAAAATTACATGCTGTTTTTGGCAAGTTATCAGTCACCTGACATATTGCGTACTTCCGGGGAGCGTTGGAAACTATTGAAAGTAGATAATAGTTTACACAATTCTTCCAGAATTTGCCCAAGAGCACCCCTGTATCTTATATATAGCTAAATAACAAAACGCAAACTAAATATTTTAAGCACACTTGAAAAATATACACATCAAAAAGTCAAATAAATTTGGATTATGCTAATCTATAAAATTACACTTTTAAATGCATATAGCATAAACTATTAACAATTATTAATAATGTTAATACGCTTTCCGCATCCCGTGTGAAACTGACTTTATGTTGAAGTGGTACCGACCCAATTAATGAGCAGCCCACCGGGAATTTTCCCAAGTCTCCCAGACCAGTGTTGGGGAAGTTACTTTTAAAAAGTAATGAGTTACAATATTAAGTTACTCCATAAAAAAGTAACTAATTCCGTAACTTAGTTACTTTTTATGGAAAGTTATGCATTACATTACTTTTGCGCTCGGGTCGAGTATGACCGGTTTGGTGCCGTGACCCAGATGGGAGTGAGGTTTAGGGCGGCGAGAGTAACGGACGTAGGCCAGTTAGAGCTGTGCGTGTAAACCTCACTACCCTGGCCTCAAGAGGCGCGCTAGCTACTGTTTCGAATAGCCACCATTTCGAATCCCGCTCAGAGAATGGTCGATTACTGGTTACATATAGCCTGTGTGTGTGTAAATTGATCTTTTTTTATTTATTGAGTGACATAAATATATTAACTTTTTATTGTTGTTTTTCAATGAAAGAAAGTACTTCATAGATTTGGAATACTTTTTATTTGATTTGATTTTGTTGTCCTTGCAAATCTTCAATATCCACATGAAAGCTTGTTGTTTTTGTTTTGTTGTTTTGTCGTGGACTGGACAGATACACTGACCTTGATATCTGTCAACCTTAATACAAGTTATTATTGTGATCAGTTTGTACACTTTTCCATTTTCTAAGTTTTTGTGCATGCGTTTTTTTCTGCACAGTTCAAGTGCACTTGTTGTAAATGGGCAGTGAGTCACCTGAATATTACAGTCTTCCTGTTCTCACTCGCTTGCGATGACATCATCCTTTCCGACAGCCGTTGTTGGGCTCAGCATTCCTGCACACACTGTTGCTGCGCTTCTCAACCTTGAGATCGCAGTGGCTAATTTAAAGATTCATTCCTGTTCTAGAAAACTCTAAAAAAAGAACGTGCTGATTAACTGAGGAACTTTTAGTTTATAGTGTGTAAGCTTTATACAAGCCTGTCTGCTTGTTTTAAGCCCACGTGCAAACTTCATTAGTCAGTGCAGGACAACACACTGCTGTCAGGGATTTCATTTTGCTGAAATGCTGGGATGGTTTCAGATAAGGATAAGGTAGAGACAAATCACTGACTAGAGGAAGAGGATTGAAATAGACTCAAAGTGACTCTGTTTCTACGGTAACTGTGGATGGGGAAGTACGAGAGATGAGAGCGAGGCAAAACAAACGCTGGCGCTGCCTCCGTGGCAACAGCTACATCATTGGTTCTTGTTTCATAGTAAAGACCTGTTAAAAAGAAAAAAAAAATCACAAGAGGCCCAAGAGACACCTCCCTCACAACTGCATGTTGCATCAGAAAGATCCTACTAGAGGAAGAGCAAAATACACACACACACAAACACATCACATGCTCCACTTCACTCTACAGCCCCCTCCTTCCTCCCCGCTCTCCCGCCAAAACATCTCAGCGAGTAAATCCTGCCTGGAAACCAAACAGCTGACTTCTGCCTCTCTGTGATTGGTGCAGCTCCCTAGCAACGGCGTGTGTTAATTCAGCCAATCAGGCGCTCGGTTTTCTGCACTTTCAACCAATAGCAGGCAGCCGCAGCTTACCCAGGCAGTAACAGTGACTTGGTAACTGTCCGGAAGAACAGAATGCAACTGTGATTGGTGAGATCCGTGCTGCGTCCTCATTGGCTGCTCATGACGATCTCTCAGTCATTCATATGTTTTTTTGCGGCTGCTCTCTTTTGCCCTGAAGGGATACACCCACAGCAGAAGGTCAACTTCTCTTCAACCTGATTGGCCGAGCAGCAACGTGGACTCCTAGTAACAAACCACAATTGCTAAAACAGGGTGTGGTTAGGCTTCTGTCAGTCATCCAAACGCTAGCCAAACATGATGTTGTTGCTGCCGGTCTGCTCATATTAAGACGTATTTTGTGTGACAAACAGGCAGTGGTGGAGGAAGTACTGAATCTCAGTACTTAAGTAAAAGTACAAATAACCAGATAAATATTTACTTTAGTAAAAGTAGAAGTAACACAATGACAACCATACTTAAGTAAAAAGTAAAAAGTACCTGATTTTAAATGTACTTTAAGTATTAAAAGTAAAAGTACTTGCATAATAATTGATTCTCTTAATGACTATTCTAATGATTAATAAAACATTTAATTCTAACTCATTCAACCTAATACTCCTAATGATGTTCAATAATGATGGAAAAAAATTGTTGTCACCATTTCTGAAACAAGCTTGCAATTAGGCAATATAAACCATGCTTATCCTTACTATATGTTAATAACTATGTTTGGCAGTAAACGCGATTAATTTATGGTGTAATTCTGAACCTCTTGGCTTGCCATAATCCTAACCAAACGTATCTGATATTACACACCGTGTGTTTCCTATGCATGTAAAAACAAATTTTCGCGTATAAATTGCACGATAAACACACTGCGTGCGAGACGCATTTAGTTTATGTATCTATGGCAACCAAACGTCACTGGTGAGACAAACGTGCAACGAACGGACGGTCCGATTACGTTTTGGCAGGGGAAAAACTGATCAGAAAATATAATGAAAATGTAACAGAAGTTGTAGAAATGTAATGGAGTAGAAAGTAGAATAATTGCTGCAAAATGTAACGAAGTAAAAGTAAAAAGTAGGCACTATTTATTCTACTTAAGTAAAGTAAAGATACGTGAAAAATGTACTTAAGTAAAGTAACGAAGTATTTGTACTTCGTTACATTCCACCACTGCAAACAGGCCCTCATTAACACACTTTTTGCTCATACTTCTGTGTTTGTTCTCACATATTTGAATTACTGCAACGGTGTTTGCTAAGATTCACTGCTAATATTTGCGTTGCTCCCGTTCGGCATCTGTCAGTTTGGTTGTTTACATTGGTTCTCTCAGGAAAAAAACCAACAACAACTTGTTAATGTCTTTGGTTACCTTTTTATTTGGTAACACTTTGTTTTACAGTGGACACTGGGCACTGTCTAATTTTAATTTTGAGCCATTTTGCAATCTATATATCATGCATTTATCATTTACAACATCATATTTGGGGTCTAACTGGCCCAGAAAGTGTTAACTTGTCATTCTCCTGTGTTTAAACTTTAGATGTGTGGAGAGCAGAGCGTGATTCACCTAACAAGAAGAATGAGTCCCCAGATGAATGAAAGACGAATCAGAAGTGACATCATGGTTGTAAGATTGCATGACATCATGACATTGGTTGAAAAGTTATTTTAGATTATTTTATTATAGACAGATTATTGTCTAATTTGAACCAGAAGAAACTGGCAAAGCAATTAGCAGTCTCGATGATCTAGATAAATATAATCAGTTTAATAAATAAAGTATTTTTTTAAAGCATTGGTACAGCATGCTGCTTTTAGCTATGAGCAACATTAGCAATAATCTAAGACTAGTGCCTATGCAGATATTAAGTCCAGTCTTTGATTTATAAGGAAGATTCTGTAAGAAAATCTCTGCCTGCTTTGCCCTGACCACAGTATTCGGAGATCGTACTGTTGGTAAAAGACACACTTCACACTTCTAACACATACAGTACTTGAAACAGTGTTGTTATTAACTTAAAAATATATATTTTTTAAAACTATTTTAAAAAGATCAGATATTGAAATAAAACTTAAATAAAGTAAAATATTTTATTAGTAAAATATAAAATATTATATGGATTTTTTTTTTAAAGAAAAGCTAACCAACTAACTGAAATAAATCAGCTGATGTACTAAACTGAAACTGAAGTAAAAATTAAATTAAATAAATGTATAAACAAATATAAAAGCTATATAGAAAATAAATATAAATAAAAAATAAAAGCACATAAATTCAATAAAACAAAAATACAAGCGAATTCAAAATATTAATAAATGTTATAAATTATAATAGTATAAAAATTAAAGAAACGAAAATCAGTGTAGTATCCTACAGTAATAATACCCGCGTATGATGCTTATAATCATTTCAGATGAGAAATTATCATTTACATTTATGCATTTTATCCAAAGCGACTTACAAAGAGCAAAGCGTTCATCAAAGAGCCAAGAATCGTAGTACACAGTGCCAGGTTTATTGACAACCACATTTGGAAACCAGCTGGAGAAGAGAAGAAATGCATAGTTTTTCTGTGCATTGCATTGGTTTAAGTGTGTGAGATCATTGAGTGCTTGTGGAAGAGGTGCGTCTTCAGCTGCTTCTTAAAAGATGTGATGATCTCAGCAGTTCGGATGGAGGTTGCCAGCTCATTCCACCAGAGAGAGGAACAGAGAGAGTGAAGGTTTTGGAGAGTGCCTCGTTGTGAAAAACAAGACGTCTCTCATTCAGTGACCTGAGCTGGTGGGCGGGAGCGTACTTATAGTAGTGGGTTGAAGTATGGGGGAGCAGTTCCTGTGGTTTGTCCTGAAAGCCAGTGTTAGAACTGAGATCATGAGGGGTGTAACATGATTTCTCTTAGTCTGATTGAAGAATAGATGAGCTGAGAGGCTTAGTCGTGCTGGTTGTAAGGTCCGCTATAGAGCATTGCAGTAGTCCAGTCTAGAAATTACAAGCTTTTGGACGAGCATATTCTGAGAGGAAGGGTCAGATTTTCCTGATTTTATTGAGCGCAAATCTGCTTGAGATATGGGTGGAAAAGCTCAGCTGGTCGTCAAGCACTTCGTTGCTGTCCTGGATGGTTAGGACATACAGTGATGTTGTGGTCAACTGATGAGTGTGCCGGGATTACAAGGTGCTCTCTCTTCGCAAGGTTGAGTTATCCAAGGCCAAGCAGATTTGTCTGAAAGGCAGGCAGATATACTTGCTGAGACTGTGGTCATCAGGTTTAAATGAAAGATTGAGCTGTGTATCATCTGCATTGCAGTGGTTGGATAAGCCATGTGCCTTTATGATTGTGCCCAGTGAGGTTGTGTAGATGCAGAAAAGAAGATGACCAAGGACTGAACCTTGAGGCACGCCGGTGATTATTCCCAGTGTAATACAACACAGATCAATAATATTGTTGAATATTAAATGTCCCCTTGTTACATTGGTTTACTAAAGTAAATTTAGTGTTGATTTATTTCTGTTGTAAAAAAGTTATTAGTTTAGTTCATTTAGCTGTACAGCAGCAACAGTGATGTCATCGTCCAGCTCAATTCAGTTCTCATAATGATGTCAATGCAGGAAGATCAATAATATTGTTGAACTCTTTACTAGACTTGCATATGGATGTCACTCCATATCTGACCAGTTTTGACATTACCATAATGTCCTTTATTACTTTACAGATACCTTTTATTTGTAATTTTACAATTAAAAATACTGTGGCACTGGTAATTTTAGGTTCATGTTCCTTGACAAAGTTGTACAAACATCAAAGATTTTAAGATGGTAAATGGTGTTAAAAACGGCTGAGAGTACCACAACTACAGCTACTCTTAACTTTGCAGTTATATAGTAGTGAAAATTGCCAAATTATATATATATTTTTAGAAAAAAAGAAAAAAAAGAAAAGCTTCTGTATATATAGGTAGCCATGTGTGTTTATAGAAAACACTACTTTGGAAATCCCAGAGATGATGTCAATAACAGCAGCTCCGGATCAATGGAAACATTTCCACCCTTAGCCGGAGCCCAAAGGGAAGATGGTGACAGGTGATGTCAGCAAACTGCAGCCTGGCATCCAATAAGGTCCCATGGGATCTCCTGTGTTGAGCACCTGCATCCTATAAACCTGTGAGAGTTCATTGAAAAATCTGATGTCAAACCACCTTAGTACCACAAATACAACTGGGCTCTAAAAATAGAAAAGAAACGTCTAATACTTTGAACGTCTAATACTTCAAATCTTATTTATTGAGGTCGGATCTCGGTTTAAACTTTATTTCCTCTTTCAGGATAGTCACTTCCCTTCAGTGTCCAAAAAAAATAAATGTTAGGGCGTGCTCTACTGGTGAAACCCTGACACTGCATCGAAATATCAGCATTACATTCTCTTTCTGAGGAGAATTGAAATGTCAAATTGAGCATGTTTCTGAAAGTACATTCCAACATATAGTAACATATAAATGTAATGATGATTTGTTAGCTCATAAAGAAATGCTTCAAAATGAAACTTTAAAGCTTAAAAATATTTCACGTAATAACTGAAATATCAGCGCAAGTAAAAGTGAAGTTTAGACAGCTGATAAAGGTATTGAACATTTAAGCTCACATGTAGTCAATTTATAGCTACATTTATTGATTCTAAAGCATACTTGTATTACCTTTAAAACATGCGTAATAATAATTGATGAACTAAAATTGTACACGTGTGATCAATTAAGGCTATAATAATTACGTAAGTAAGCATTACTATAAGCTAGACGATCATTTGCTATAGTGACCTTTAATTTGGAGTACAAACCGGTGGAGTGACTTTATGGCATCAGACATGCGTCACTCTGCTCTCAGCTGATTGGCCAATTTTGCATCCTTTTACCTACATAACCTGCCCCGGACTAGTTTGGCCGGGGCGTAAATTACTATGGCGATGAACACTGCTAAAAGCCAAACCACTTTCATGGTGCCTAAAGCCCAGGGTTGGCGCATGCTTAACTGAAACATACCTGGCAAGCCACCTAAACCGGCTTCATCATGCTATATATAGGCCCCTGGTGTTGTCCTTCTAGGGATGTTATGTGTGTGCTTGTTGTGAGGTTTGTTAGCCTTCCTTGCCTGTGACTGCATTTATCAGTTTTGCATGGATTTACTTTAAATATCTTTGTTTGAATTGCTGCATCTGGATCCCACTCTCGTTCCTCTGAAATAGCCACCGTTACATAGGAACCAAATGAGAACCAAATCAAATAAGGAACAGTTATTTGTTTATCTGTCAATCATCATTAAAATGCATTGTATTATATTTGCCCTCCACACACACACAAAAAAAAAATACAGAGCTTTGATAATAAAGCTAAACATTTAAATACCATCTTAAGACATATTATTTGAAGATAGAGTGAGAACTGATATCTATGCATGCATTTTATGTAAGTCTTTAATTGATTTATGTCTGTAGACAGTTGTAGAGATCTTATTTAAATTACAAGCTGTCAGAATTTCATCTTACTTTCTGGCAATATTAATATCAGCGACCACATCAAATTGCCTATTTTGATTTTATTAGGGCCTCTGAATAAAATTTGTTGAGCTACATATTCTCACTATTTTACTATATGAGCTATAAAAGCCTCTATCAAATGTGACACTATATATTTTTAAGGTTTTTTCTAAAGTTTCAATAAAATAAAAATAAAAAAAGATTAAAACTATTTCATGTTAGGCTTTACACAGAGTTAAAGTCAGATCAGACTGCATAACAATGTTGAAACAAAATTCCCAAGCTTTGAATTGTTATGCCATTTACCAACAGAAAATGTGACTGAATCTTAACAAAATAAGGCATTTTAAATGATCCAGATCAGGTGATTGACAATACGCAGAATTACTAGTGGCAGCAGTTCATAAACATGATTAAACAATATCGCTTTCTCTCAAAAATCACATCTCAAAGAATATTTGTTTGAAAAAAAAAAAAAGTTTAAAGGTTTTATTGATGGCGCAGTGGATAAGACACATGCCTTTGGTGTCCCTGAGCAAGACACTTAACCCCTAGTTGCTCCAGAGGCGTGTGATCTCTGACATATATAGCAATTGAAAGTCGCTTTGGATAAAGACGTCAGCTAAATGAATAAATGTAATGCATGTCCTTAGTCAAATGATCATGATGCTTGTTTCCTGTCCAAATATCTCCAAATTCTTAAATCAAGATGCATTTGCTAAATAAATAAAAAGGTTTTTTGACATAATATCTTATGGCATTTTACTCATAAATGCATCTTGATTTAAGAATTTTGAGATTTCTAGAAGCAAGACACAAATACTAAGAAAATATTTTTGTGTGTGTTTCAGTTCTACAGAAAGCCTTTTGAAATGTCCCGTAAACGGACAAGGTTGCATTTGTTCGGCTGTGGCAGAACACCTCATTTGTTAATCAGATGAAGTTCCATTTACTGTGAGCTTGAAATAAACAAGGGTTTCTATTAACCAATTCATTGTTAGGGATCAGGGAAATGTTTGTGTTTTGAAGACTGCGATTTTATCTCTGTTATTTGTGGAAATCAGTTGTACTGATCTTTTTTGAGTTACAATAAAGGGCCTGATGGGATGTCAGTGAGATTTACATTTTGAGTCAAAATGACGCATCAATTTATAAAAAAAGCATCAAGTACAAACAATAATGTAAAAACTAAACACAAAATTGTCAAAAAATATGGCAAGATGTCAAACCACTGTTATTTTACATAATCATTCATATGCAACTACTACATTGACTTGTGTCTATTGAACATTTTTGTATTTATATTTCACTGTCAGATGTTTTATCAACTTATTTGTAATATTTGTTGATGCTTATGTTCATATAGTAATATCTATTCTCTTGTGCGTCTTTGTCCAGTTAACCCTGGAATCCAACATTAACCCTGAAAAGCCTGCCGAAACTCTTATCATCTAACAATAAAGCTGGCTGTTCAGGAGTGGCCGTGTCTCGTCCCGATGTTCTCCGTTAGCTAGTTTGCATGAAGAGATGTGGTTAACAAATACAGAAAACCACACCGGGAGGGAGGAAATGCTACATGCAAAATGTATATATGCTGTATCTGATGAAATGACACAAGTATTTGGAAAGACTCAACGTCTCTTCACCAGGTAAGACGTTTGTTTCAGTTATTACAACAGGAAATAAAGTAAAATAACACAATGCAATTCAGTAATGGATTTTACATTTTGTTCTGCGCTGGTTTACTTTTGACGTTTTTGCTATAAGTAAAATAAAAGTATTTGCTAAATGTACATGTCCCTCACTGCGGTGGAATTGGGAGTTAATGTGTTGATTTATCCTTGGTGTATGGCATTTCACTTAATATTACATAACACTGTATTGGAGAATGTGATGTTGGATTATGTTTAGGACAGTTCTTTTTCTGGGTAAAAAAAATTCTGGTCTTTAATCTTATTGGACATCAGCAGTGCAAAAACGTTAAAATAAATAAATAAATTACAATAATCCTTTCAGGGAGTAGACAAAGAATGGGATTTTAGATAACTCTTGTTCTATTTGTTCTTGTTTATAAGCAACAATAAGAAAAACAACAAGATTAGATGTTTTACACTTTTCTTTTTCCAGCTCATCAGATGTTTTTGAGGATCCTGGAGATCCTGTCAGGCATGAAGTGGAACATCTGGGGTCTCCTGCTTATATCTCCTGGCCTCTTCTGCATATCTGCAAAGCAGACTAAGGCTGTGGAAACAGCCTGTGGAAAAAACCCTAACAAACCTGTTTGTGCTGGAGTTAATGCCATAAAATGGTCCAATTCAGGCAATGGAAAGAATTTGGATGGCATCGTCATACTCGGTACAGATGGTTTAATGGGTTTCATGGAAAAAGGTGATTCAAATGGGAATGTAAAGTACTAAATGTAAATGTTACTTTTGGTTGCTATTGTTTATCATCTGTTCTTTAAATAGGTTATTCCTCGACCTGTAATGATTCTCGATTCTCAGGTGAGGAGAGACTTGCATGCTTAAACATTCCTTTTTTAAATAATGTCAATCTCAAAAACAAAGAAAAAGAAAATCATAATATTCTGTGTCGTTAACGGTGTATAATATGTCTAGAGCCATTTTTTAAATCTCAATGTCATTAATTCAACATGATAAAGTTGCAGCGGTCGATACTGGACAGGAATAATATTAAAGTTGCAATGAAATTAACAAACCTTTTCTTCCGTATTGTGATGTACATTGTGAGTGTAGTGGATTATTGAAAAATACAACATGTTCACCCTAAAAATAGAGTTCTATATAAAACGAAATTCATTCATTAAAACTAATATCCAAGCGCTTGAATATTTACTTTTAAGAGTGTTGGAGGATGGGAAGTCAAAGGCTTCATACATTCATTCATAATTATTCAACAGAAGTACCTACAATATATATATATATATATATATATATATATTAGGGCTGGGCAACGATTAATTGCGATTAATCACATTTAAAATAAAAGTTTGTGTTTAGATGATAAATGTGTGCGTAGTGTATATAATTATTTTGTTATATGTTATAAATACACACACATGCATGTATATATTTAAGAAATATTTGCATGTATACACTTTATATATATTTTATACATAATTAATATTATGTATAAATATGAATATTTGATATATTAAGAACACATTTTTCTTATGTATAAATATATATAAAGTATATATAAAGTGTATACATGCAAATATTTCTTAAATATATGCATGTGTGTGTATTTATATATACAAAATAATTATACACACTACATATATTACATAAACACAAACTTTAATTTTGGAAGCGATTAATGCGATTAATCGTTGCCCAGCCCTAATATAACTATAACTTTAGAGAAGTCTGACGTTTCGCTAAAGACTGAGTTATGATATTTGTATTAAAATATACGAGGTTAAAAAGTAAACAAATCATGGACCTTTTAAAATAAGATCAAGATCATGCAATAGATTATTTTTTAAGGCCATGTTGTTGCTTTTATTTTTTTCAGCTGGGATGAAACACAAAATGACTGTTTTTTCATTTCAAGAAAATACAACCTCACCATCTACAAGCAGCAGCGGTGGGTCTGAAAGTAGCCTTTCCTGTCTTGTTTAGCGCCACTATCCATAATGAAATCCTAAATGTTCTTTAGGAAAAAAATAATAATAAAGTTTGAGCCCAGAGTAACCTTGGTTTGTAACCTTTTGTTTTGCAGATTTTGGTTTGTCTTTATTTAAAGACTCTAAACACTCAACATACATACTCAACATAAGCAGATCGATTACATTAGATCAATGTATAATAGAAGGGGCCTGCAGAAATGGCACTTGGACAAACTGGATTCCAGAAGGTGAATGATTAATCTTTCATATTGCTTATATTGACATTTTTAATAAAAATGGTTTAAAAGATTTATATTAAATGAAAGTGAACTATCCTTAATCAATTGTTCAATTCAAATACGTAAGGATTATTCAATTCAATGTGATGGAATTTTATTGTTAATTGAAATGTCGAAATCTTCAAAAAAGCCTTAAAAATGTTGTGTGTATAGGTGGAAGACATATTTTACATGATAATCTATTCACTGATTACAGAATTAGTTGAAGTTAAATCACTTGACAAAATATTTTCACACAGAACAACTTGCAAAATAAAAAACCTACAGTATCAAAAGGTAGTCAAAATTTGGGTTTATCCGTTCACAATTACTCTCAAAATCTCATTACTGCTAACACTTGGTATTTATTCGTTTTTTTAAAGAGTTAACTCATTATTGTAAAGCATTACTTTTAAAAGTAACCTCCCCAACAACACGTAAATGAGGCCAAACGCCACATACTGATTATCTCTTGGATCATTACAAACCGTTCAGTTTTGAAGTTTGTGATCTTTGTTGTGTTGCTTGGAAGTTTTCTTGACACTCGTTCATTTTAGGCGTGTTGTTGGTCTTTTGCAGTTCAGGTTTCTGTTAAGAGCTTATTTTTGTTCTCTTTATTAAAGGTTTAAATTGGACCCTTCCAAAAAACTTTACAGATACAAGTAAGTATTATCCAAACAGTCTAAATATGATCTGTATTTGTCATCAGCTTCTGTATAATTCTGTGTGTTGTGTATGTAAGATTGTAGAATGACCTGCCTGAATCCCACAAACACGTGTGAGATTGCAAAATATGATTCCAGCTGTAGGGGTAAGAGAGTATTTCAATATGCCTAAATTCCATAAATCAGACGTTTCTGCTCAAATACGTTTTTGAACACACTAAAAGTGCCGTTTAACCACAATGCATTGCTTTTAATCGTTCCATCCCCATTTGTTTTGATTTCATTTTTATGTTTTTACACAGATGATAATGCAGGCGATGAAAGTAAAATGAACACCATTAAGATCAGTAGTGGAAGTGCAAATTGTATTAAATGCGGAAGTCCTTTTCAAAAGGTGGAAGAAATCAAAGATGTAGCAATCTCAAATATATTCAATAATACTCATAAAGGAGAGACAGATGCTGCAAAAGCTGTGTAAGTACTTTTATTAAACAAACAGGATTTAAGTCTACTCTGTATTTTTTAGACATAATGTTTATTATCAGTTTATCTTTTAAATACCATTATTCAGAAGGTTTCCATAATAACTTGCTGTATTGCAATTAAGGGATATACATGAGATTTTTTAAAAATCTTTTTTTTGTTTTTCATTCCATGATAACCATTTCTATCCAGGGAGACCGGGGCTAGTTGTCACAGGGGATTTATCCCATCTAACCCTCTGTAGCGTCTCAATGTTTGTCAATTGTACCATTTTCAATGGTTGCACCATTGTATCAATTGTGCCGTTTTCTCTTACATCAGAGATATTGTCATGTCAAAAACACATCATTTTGTCTTTTGTTCAGTGAGGCCATGAACTATCTCCCCAATCTGCTGGCTCTCATGGAGAACATGACCACAGCATCTATTTCCTTGGGTGAAGTTAAAGGGGTTTTAAAGAAAATTCAAAATGTGTCTGATATCAAGAAGTCCGCTTTCATCTACTCTGCAGAAACAGGCATCAGAGTAAGTGTAAAGATGACAAACATACACATCTTTTTTAGCTCTGCATAAACAATGTTTCTCTCTTTGGAACATAAAGTGTACCTGAAATCACCTTGTGTTTACAGGTTATAGATGATTTTTCCGTATTGAAAGATTATCCCAACGCTCTCACTATTCCAGAGGAAGCCACAAAACAAGCATTCAACAAAAGTGCAGGATATGCTTTTCTGGGTGTGTTCAGATTTCCCAACATGTCAAAGGTATAAAAAATTAGATTTTTCAATTCCTGTATACAGGAAAATGTAAGCTTAGGCCTGTTTCATGCCGTTCTCACAGGTAATACACAAGCATTGATGCTTAACTACAAAAGGCTGAGAGAGTTTATGCTTAAATAGATAGTTATGTTTATATTACAAAAGATAAAGGTTTATAGTGCACTTTCAGCGATTCTATCATGCTACACCTGGAGACTAGGCTTTGTCAAGTTTTACACTGCGCTTAAATGATTTTAACTCATGCATCATAACACAAGACATTCTTTTAAATGAGTGATTTTGATCAAATTATATTTCTTGCAAACAGATCAATAATAATGTGTTCATAAAATGTGTGTTGGATTAATAAAAGAGTATCCTGAACATTTAAATGTCTGTTTCACTTCTGACATTTATCTTATTAAATCTATTCATTAATAGAAATTAATGTTTTTATATAGAAGCCTAATGTTTTTATATAGAAACAAAACAAAAACAATCCCATTTCATTTTTATTAAAGGATGAAAACAACAGTACGGTTTTGGGGAATCAAGTTTTTGCAATCGAAATGGGGACACGAATATCAAATCTGACTGAAAACATCAGTTTGGCCTTTAGCAATAAAGAGGTAATGTATGATGCATGGAAAAAAAATAAAAAATTTCTAATATTCTAAATTAGTCTATATCTTACTTTCTAAATTTCTTATTTATTTCTCTGCAGAACATGATTGGAACTCCTGCCTGTAACTCATGGGATGGAAGCGGTCTGTAATGCTTTGTGTTTTTATATATTTAAATAATTTTAATTAAACGGAATATGGATGTGATAAATTATCCATACAGTATATCAAGAATATATTCTTATTGATATACTGTATCGAAATGTGTGTATATATATATATGTGTGTGTGTGTATTAAGAATTTTAAATTAGTAAATTTTGTAAAACTATATTAGTAGATTCGTATTCATAAATTAAAAAATATATATATTCAAATGTATGAATATGAATCACATAAACTATGGTCCATTAAGATTTCCACAAAATGTTTTATTAAACATTTTTACTCTTTTTAAAATTCTTAATTTATAATATGAATAATATATAAGCATTATTTAATTCAATTTGATGGAATTTTACTATACAATTGAAAATTGTAAATCCTACTAAATAAATTCTTTAAAAAATATAGAGAACTAGTTAAGAGTCTGAATGTTTCAAGCCATGCTGTGATGTGTGAATGTTGATTTCTAATAATAAATCAGCCATGATGTCAATTAACATTCATTAACTCTCTCTAAATCAACTCAAAACTAACCAGTCCCTCCTTTTCACCAGGAAATAAGCCAAACTGGACAACTGAAGGGTGTACTACTGTTCCTAATGGAAAGGATATAACATGTAACTGCAACCACTTGACTTTCTTCGCTGTGCTTATGGTATGTTCTCTGTTTTCTGTGAAATTTGACTCACATTATAAGTTCTCTACCGCCCCATTTAGATAGATTTATGTTTGCGTATTTCACTACATTCTGTGGTTACTGATATCTCAATATTGCAAACGTTCAGACAGACCTGTGTACTGTAACTGAACGATGTTTTAATACACAGGTTCATCCAGTACCCATTCCCGAAGCTGACCTTGTCGCTCTCACCTACATCACGTACATCGGCTGCGGCCTCTCCATGTTTTTCCTGGGAGTCGGATTTTTTATTCACTTCCTCTTAAGGTGAGACATGAGTATCTGTAACACTGTTCACACATGTGAGATCTCATTAATCGACAGCATTTGTGGCGTAATTTTGATAACAAAATAATCGTACAAAAAAATCCTCTAAATTTGTTGAAAGTGCACCTATTATGATTTGTAGGTATTACCTTTCATGTAAAGTGTAATATAGCAGAGCAGGCTCTGAGTTTAGAGAGACTGAATCCTTTATCAAACCAATTCAAGCTCTGTGAGAAAACGTGATGCTGAAATGTACATTACAAGGAAATTAAAGTGTTTTTTGACCTTGGATTCATTCAAGTGAATGGGGTGAAAGTGAATGTTTTAGGTGTCGCATCATCATGGCAATGAAGCCATAAACTTGCATATAACTTTACAAAGAAAATATTAATAAGCAATTGTGTTTACACTAACATCATGTTAACATTGAGCATTTTAACATTTACAGATTAGCCCGATTCACTTCCATTGAAAGTAACTCACTGTAACACAGATTTGTAACTTTAAAAAAAAAGAGTGGGAAATGAATGAATCCATTTTGATCAACAATAAGCCACAAGTGCTGTGATTTGAGCTTGACTTGTACTAAACTCAGAATATGGTGGGTTTCACAAATTAAGGGTTAAAGCAGAAGTATGTCAACTGTTAAATTAAACCAGGATCAAAGACGTAAATTGTAAATGTATTATCAAAGTTAATCCAAATCACCCTGAAACATTTTTAGTTCACAAAGCCACAGATCCAAAATACTAATTTCGTTTGTGTATTTTAAATTTCAGGAAAGCGAAGGCCACTAATTCAGCCCATGTGCTGATGAATCTCTTTTTGGCGCTGTTTCTGCTCAACCTGGCCTTCCTGTCTAATGAATACATTGCACGTGCGAAAAGCCCCGGCGCCTGCAGGGTCATAGCTGGCTTCATGCACTTTAGCCTGTTAGCCAGTTTCTCCTGGTTTGCGGTGGAGGCTTTACACCTGTGCCTGCAAATGGCCAGACACTCAATCGTCATCAAACATTACATCCTCAAGCTCTCTGTGGCGGGGTGGGGTGAGTTCAAAAACCTTTACAAGTTCACTTTAAAGTTCATTTATTTCAGTAATTCAACTTAAAAAGTAAAACAAATGCAAAGTGAAATATTTCAAGCCTTTATTTGTTATGATTTTGATAATTATGGCTTACAGCTTAAGAAAACCTCAAATTCAAAATTAGAATTTACTGAAAGGGTTTTATATCTATATATCTTTTCATATATAAATATCTCACTTTCCATGCAATGAGTCTATATGATATATTACTTAAGTACTGAAATAAATCGGCTTTTGCACAGTACTGTAAATTTTCAGGTTTCACCTGTCTGTGGCCTATGATCAGATGCACAATTTTGACCTGCAACATTCCCATAAACTTATATAAAATATAAAATCCACATAGAATTCATGTCATATGTACAGATAAAATACTTAATCTGATCTAGATCTGAAGTCTGATCTAAATCCTCTATTCAGACGATTGATT